TTCCTAGTAAAACTGAATCTGAGCAGGCTTTAAAGCTGACCAGCTGCACTATACTTTAATTGAGTAAAACTGTTTAAGCAGAAATTTATATTTCTATTTTCATTCAAACAATGTGAAAAAGCAGGATTTTATATATATTTGTTTCATTCAAAAATTGTGTAAAAAAAGTTAACTGCTGTGGTGGTATGTTTTAATAAGGTTACCAAGAAGTAAAAGATATTTAATAGTTGTCTATTTTTTTCATTACTGTACCGAAAAAAAAAAAACCCGAACCGTGACTTGTGTACCGAGGTACGTACCGAACCGAGATTTTTGTGTACCGTTACACCCCTAGTATTTATGATGTATAAATGATGGTTATGTTTTTATCAAATGTCCTAATAAGTCATGACAGTGGGAAAGTGAGCCAGTATGCCTGACACCGGGTCCCTGATACTGAGGCTGCTAAATGGCATTCAGCAATAATTAATTTCTTATTTTTCTATTGTGAAATTTGGCTGTCAAAATATCTTCTGGGAAAAAGGTCTGTAACATTGTGACCTGAGTTCTGTTACAACTCAAGCATGTAGATAGCAAAGAAAAACACTTGCAGACGAATCATATTTTAATCATTATTTTCTTAATCCTAAAATGTAGCTTATAAATGCAGTCTTAGTAATAAACACTCATGACCAATTACTTATTTTAGGCCAAATGTGAAATGTCACAGGTAAAGAGACAGAAGTATGTTGGAGTATAAAATTTAAGTTTAATTAATTTTAGTTCTTGTATGTCAGATTTCTCTAAAGCATCAAAGAGAGACTAAAGTATCTGTTACCTTGGTCTCTGTCACCATGCAGTCAAAGGGGCAGGAGAAGACAGCGATCTTGGCGTCTTTAACTGATGTGACGTCTCCCTCTGCTTCCTTCTTAAAAACCATGCCATGTAGCACGGAGGATGCCGTCACTCCACAGCCCTGAAAAAAAAAACAAAATAAAAACCCACAACATGAACTTAGAGGCACACACACACACATGCGCAAATACACAATGCAGTCAGTGGATGATGATGCTTACCAAAATCTTGCATACTCTGACGTTGTCGACATTGAAATTGCCAGACTCTGGGAAGATGGACACTGAAGCACAGTACAGAAAGCAAAGTCAGAGAAACACAAAATTTAACGCTACCATCAAGCGAATTGTTTTTGACAGCTGACCGTATGTTTGGTTAGAAAGTCTGTATTGCTGACTCACCACAGGCCTGTGCAATGAGGTTGGCGAGAAAGTCTTCGTTGCCGTACTGTTTACTCATGACTGCTGTGCGAATGAGAGCTGTTGCCTCTTTGATGTCATGGAGGTTCTCGGCAGAGGAACATACGCAGTCTGACATGAGCTCCAGAGTCTTTTTACACGCTTTCTCGTAGCCTTCAATCACCTGTGGCAAAGAGGAGAGGGGACACTGAGTAAATACAGCAAACTATTTCTTTGGGGTGCAAAAATTCATGTTTTTCTTGACCGTTATGTCAATATAAGCTCTGAAAAGCATATAAAAGCATCAGCCTGATATTAATTTATTGCAAATATTTAGCTGATTTGCGTTTGGACAATTGTGTATTTTTTCTAGGAGTGTGACATTACTGTGTGAGACTCAAATACCAACAAGAAAATAAACAGTCTTTTTTCTAATAAACAGATAAAAACGGCTTTCCTCAGAAGACAAGTAGAGGTTACAACGTGGGTAAAGGAAAAAGTCAATACAAGCACTACACAGCACAACTTGCACGATGACGGTTTACCTCTGACACTGACAGGCCCATCCTGAGCAGCTCCTCTGCCAGCTCCAGCAGAGCTCCAGCAAACACCAGCACAAAGTTTGTCCCGTCTCCTACCTCCTGTTCTTGCATGTGGGATGCCATCACCACCATTTTGGCTGCTGGATGCTGCACCTGTAAAACAAATGATTCACAGTTAGAGTTGAATTCCCCTCATATATAAATCATCCCTGTGTGTTGCAGGAGACTGTTAGATTTCCTCACCTGAAGCTCTCTGAGAATCGTTGCGGCGTCATTGGTGACAAACAACTTCTCCAAGTGGTTGATGACCATTTTGTTCATACCTGAAAAACAACAGTGTCATAGTTTAGCCATCGCTGATTTTGTTGTCTTGCTAATGCGAGTTTAACAAGTGAAAGCTTAGACTAAGATGTAATAAATGTATGTTACTGAGGAGAGAACTTACCGTTTGGCCCGTAGGCGGAGCGTGTGGTCTGAGAAAGTTCCTTACATGCTCTGATGTTACGGAAGACTGCCTCTTCAAGCCCTGAATAGTGCTGCAACAGAAAACACAACAACTCAACTGCTGTGCCTTTACAAGAGAGGTGCATTTAATGTCGTAAGTTCACATATCAGACAAATGGGTATTGGCACCCTGCGTGATGACTCATTAAAAACAAGTAGTATCAAAACACCTTAATTAATCAATCAGTATCATCTCTGGAGTATGAGCTGGTATCAACATGAGCGGAAAATAAGCCACACCACAGATTTAAGATGAGCTAACGGGATGCATCAGCATCTCTGGCACACCCTGGGGTTTGACAGTTAGCTAAAAGCTAACAAAATGTGACTGCTGTCTGACAGTCACTTATTATAGCAGCTATAACACTGCAAATGTATACATAACATATTAAACTGTTTGAGAGGACAGTGAAAACACGCAGTCATGCCCATCCCATCAGCCCCGGCTGCAGCGGCTCTGTCCGGCCTGGCCTCCTTCTAGAAGTCTCCCACATGACTGTGAATGAGCGTGCTAACTCAGGGGCTAACGCTAGCTAGCATGCTACTTCACAACCACACACTCAAAGCTCCTAAAGTACGCCAAATACAGATTCATCCTCACCTTGGCGCCATCTTTTAACATTTGGGCAAAGCCCGGAGCTTTGGGGACGTGGAGAGCCATTTTGGGATGTTTAGCAGCCCCGGTATCTTGGAGAAGGAAGCCGCGGCGTGGACTCATCTCTGGGTACAAAGCCGGAGAGACAGAGGAGGAGCAATTACAGCGAGGCGTGGGGCTAAGGACGGATAACAACAAGGGACAATCTGAACGATTCTCGTTTCTCCTGCTTTAGCCTTGACCCACCACTGGAGGGAGCTGTTGCCCTTATGGGTTACACAAGTCCTTAAAAGGTCTGAAAATGTCTGAATGTCAGTGTTACAACAATAAGGCCTTAAAAGTTATTAAATACTCCTAAATTTGAGTTTGTGAGGTCTTAACTGCTACAGACATTTTATCTAATTTCATATATACATCTTTTAATTCATTTCTATAAAAAAATAAGTGGAGCTTTTTTATGTTAAAGTCCACATTTCTAATGTTACAAACCTTTAAAAACTACAATACTGTCATTTTACTTCATACTTGCACTTACCTGTTGGCAAAATGTAGATCAGCTTAAGTCACTCTTAAACCATATTCCTACATAACACCTACCTCTGCACAAGACCACATAGGCTATATATTACTCACCTGCAATGCTTACATGCGATGCTTAGATAAGTAAAACATTATTTGTCCAATAATCTTTTGTAAAATTGGTTAAAAGGTGTCTTGAAAGGGTCTTTAAAACATTAAATTTAACTGTCTGATACCTGTCGACACCCTGTTAAAGGGCTATATAAAAACTAAACCTCAGAAATGTTACACTCAGGTCATTTTTATACTTATGATCATTTATTTACTTGTAAAAGAACTACAACATCCATGTAAAAATATGCTGAAATGCACTTAACAAAAGTAAAAGTACACAAGACATTTCTTTAGGTAGTTATAAAAGTATCAAAAGTAAAACTACTAATTTTGTGAAATGGACCCAGTTTGTGTTTGATTATAAATGCAATATCACTGGATTGTTATTGAGGCATTAAAATGTAAGAGGAATTTTAATCAGCCAAAAAGCCACTGGAATATAAAAGACAGTATACCCACTTCCTCCTCAGTAACCGAACTATCTACCTGGTAGTACACCCACTGCATCAACTACCACTACACCACTGGAGTTCAGTAGTGGTCGACCTCGTATTTGCTAATGCCCATGTATTCAGCCTTTTAGAAAGTGAGTGAGCCGTCTAAAATCAAGGATACAGGGGTTTAATACTGCTGTTTGTGTCTGTTTGTGTAGTGGTATCCACGTCTACCACTGCTGTGAAGCTATTTTCACACTTTAATCTTTAGCAGTGCATCATATTTTATAAGCTGTTCATGTACTTTTTTAATATGGTATGCATAAATCTGAAATGTCAAATTTGTAGTGAAGTAAAAAATCAAATGGAACCACTTGAGAAAAGCAGAAGTAGTTCAAATTTGTCATATAGTGCTAGGGAAAATATTCCACTGCACTACTTAACAATAATCAGTATGTAGTAGTACTGTGTAAGCAATGATATTGATCTTGTATCACATACAGATAACATTTTCGAAGTTATTGGTCAGTATAAAATTATGTTTATTCAAAGTATGTGGGAAAAGTATAACAACTGCACAAACTAGGGATACAAAACAGCAAAGAGCCTTTATAATCGCATCCTATAACATTATCTCACCCATTCCTAAATCTACATTTTACTCATATTTGTATGATTCTATAAAATATTGCAGTGGCATAAAAAGTAGATTGTTTCTGATGTCACGCTTCACAGTACTTCAGTTTCCAAATTCTATAAAATGTTGAAGTTCTTTTGTAAACCACGTTGAATCTTCTCAAAATCGAATGGCTGACTTATAACTTTCACCACTGATTCAGATGCGCAGATGATCTGGTCCTAGCAGTGTAAGTAATATGAACATACATACTGAGTATCACTGACAATAAAAATGCCTTCCACGTCATTTAATTTGAGACATTAAAGCAAGACCAGCATTAATATATAAATAGTAAGGTTATATTTGGGGTTGCAAATAGTCCAAGTTACAATTACCACATGTTGCAATAATAATAGTAACAAAAATGATTAGGCGTTGTGGTTGTGGTTGAAGCTTACAGGCTTTATTGTGACACTTTCTTTCACATTTAGGCACAACAGCAGTCCTTATTTCTCACTGCTGCAGAAAAGAAGGTACCAATACATAGAGATGGCAGACAGGGGAAAAGTGTTTTGCTTCATTTGAGGTTGCTGATAACCTACTGGATATGGCTTTATAACATTATCATTGTTAACATTAGGAAATGAGTCATTACATGTTCCCTCCCATCACATTATCAAAGTATTTATGTGTATAGTGTTCATACATGAATCATCCACAGGTCACTAAAAGTGCCAACCTCTACCTCAAGGACAGACATGAAAAAAGATCCCACTTGTATACTGCTTAACTATGTATATAAAAAATTTCCCCTTTCATAGAAAATACACTTAACAATTTGGCATAATCAAACAACTTTTAAAAAAAAGGAATAACAAATGTTAGTAACATTATTGCATACATACATATATAGTAGAGGGAAATGCTTCTCCCCTTCGTCACTAAATTTAGTGTTAGTTCTCCCGATACAATTTTGGTCTCGTGCAATGTTTCTTTTAAAGTAAACTTCAGAAACTAGCAGAAGAGTGAGAATACAAACTACAACATTAGTATCTTGACATGTAACTAAGACATTTGGTTGTAGCAGCTAGGACAGGTGCACACACCACAATACAGAAATCCCTTTGGTAGCTACAATGAGGATATCTTACCCACAACCAGCTAACCTGAGACGTGTAAACACACAAGAAGAACTTGAATGTTGCCGACTACACACAACGTAGATAAAAAAGAAGACAAGCTGCCGTATAATAAGAGTCTCCCAGTATCGTCATGACAACACTACATATAAATGTAACAGCGATACCTCAATAATGATAAATGTAAAACATGTTTACAAAAAGGTCCTGCGTTTTACACACAAACACACACGTGCATGTAGCTCAGTTGGGTTTGCGGATAGTGTTCACAGCTGTGTGGGCCCAACCTCCCACTGTGTTTGAGAGGTTTGAGGCTCGGCGTGTGAGGTTTGAGCGACTCAGTTTACCACTGGGGTCCAACTTTCGCATCACCGCTCCTCCAGAGCATGCCCTCGTACTGCAGAGAAGAATAAAAAAGAGTGAGTTGTGAAGTGTCGGCAGCTATTGACTCAGTTTTAAGACTTAAAATAATGGTTTTTCATATTTACTGAACGGTCACCATAACAAGTTGTACATGAGACAGATAATATGTGGGGAAAAAAACAAACATGTTCCTCTGCCTTCTCATAAAGTGCTTATAATGGCATCACCACTTGTGAACAAAAAACAATCAGAGCTGAGGAGTCTCTATTGCAGCTGTCAATCATATAATTATCTGCTTGTGAACTGCAGTGAAACTGTCAAACTAGGCAGCGCGGATCAAATATGAATCAAGATTCTGTTACTTCGTTGGCTATTTCTCACCTCAAATATTTTCAGAATCACATTTTAGTGCACTGCCCACCAGCCAGAGCAAACTTTTTTTATTTTACAACTAAACATTACACTAAAGCCCTGTTTCCACCAAACAGTTTGATACGCTTTTTTTCCCCGTTTCCACTGTGAAAAATTGTGGATGGTAGAAATGAAACTGTTCTGTACCGTCCCCATTTTTGGTCCCCCCTCTGTTGGGGTACCTAGCACACAGATCTGGTACTAACAGGTGGAGCTGTGAACACTGCAGTCTGTTGGTCATTAGCAGACGGTCACTCCGCTCAGGTGGAGTTGTGGCTGGATTAGAGGCTCATGTAATCACTGTTCATACCATGGAGTTTTACATATATTAGTAAACTGTAACTATAAAATGAAAGGATGTTTTGCTGCCTCTCGCAGCAGCTGTAGTCGGAGGAAACGCTAGGGACTAGGTACCATGTCTGAAGGGTTACTTCTGGTTCCAAAGGTACCATACCAAAAGTGTTGGGTGGAAACGGGGTTTAAAATATATTTCTGCAAACATTTCAGGCAATGCAGTAACAGAACACTAAACCATATTTGATCAATGCTGCCTGCAGTGACTGACATGACTAACAGCTGCAGTAGAGACCTCTCAGCTTTGATTGATTGTTTCCCAACAGCCAAAATGCCATTAGAAGCAGCAGGACAAGAGCACATTTTTTTTTTCACAGATTATCTGACACGTGTAATACTGTGTGTGAGCTTTTAGTGACAATTTAAGCAAATATGACAGTTATTTTCATAAAAGTTACCAACGACATCTTTAAGAGTGCATCCAATAAGACATAGAAAATAGGACCAAATGCATCATCAATTTACTTCTCTCCTCTTTACGAGTGCATCATTTTTTAAAATACATTCCTGTGTTTGTTACTTTTAATGTTATAAGGACTTTGAGCTGCAATTTGTGTATGAAAAGGGGCTATATTGTTATTACTTCTAAAAATGAATGCCATTGATGACCTATCAGGAAATGTTGAGATGTTTCAGTACATCTAGAAACCGGATTTTAAGACTTTTAAAGCCGTGCTTCACTAGTGTTATTCAATCATCACCTTGAATTTGGATAACATTAAGTCACATCTTTAATTGCAGGCACTGTGGTGAGTAGGAGAAAGGGTGTCAGAGCTAATAGGGTGATAGAGAATAAGTCAGTGTGTAAAGGAAAGAGTAGTGAAGGAGGAAGGAAGTGTAAATCTGATAGAGAGGAAGGGCATTCTTTATTTAGACAAGGCAAGTTATTCATCAGTTATAGAAGAGCAGCTTTTCATACACACAGCAGGCCATGCATCGACACCAGGCTAGCCCTGCCATGCGCTTTTGTGTCACAAAATTAGGTCAGAGCACATCTCCACAGCTAAGCTGGTTTTAGAAGCACAACTTTTTTATTTACCTTCTTCCCTACTCCGCAATTAGGGAATAGTTGAACTGCCTGCAGTCGGAGGAAAACAAACTTGTGTTTAAATTTCCATAAGAGGAGACTCTCATACAGTGAGGAGGAAAGCTGCTGTCTGTCTGCATGTACAGACACAGTCACTGTCCGTGTGTCCTTCTGTTTCTTCACAGAGCATCTCATTATTTACGGGCCAATCCAGACCATGATTCAACATTTTGAAAGTCAACACAGGAAGTGATGTAAATATACTCCAAGGTCTCTCAAGCGCATTTTTGTCATTTCATCTGGCTCCAATTCCCACACCCATACTCTCTCCCCCTGCTGACGCCCCCTAACTCCCTCCTCATCCGAATACCAGAAGAAACACGGACCCAGTTTCAAATCTGCCCGGGAAGAATGTGTGTGGGGGGAGGGGAAGGAAGTCTGGGGACCCACAAGCTGTGCAGGGATTCTTTGGGTGGGAGGGTGAAGAGAACGGTCTTCTCTATGCAGGATATGTATTAATAATCCTGGACCGATAGCTTCCACTAGTACACACAACACTCATTCACCTACAGCACCAACATGCTTTCATTCATAGAGAAATACAGTATTTTAACCACCTTCTGCTCACTATTACTCATAAAAACAGGCAAAACTTCTGACTAAAAGTTAAATGAAAGAAGATGAAGATGAGGATGCTTTACCTGTCGTCTCTGCCAATCAAGTCATCAAAGGCTCTGGACAGGTATTTGAGTTTCCTGAGCCCACTGGACACTGACTCCAAATCTTGGTCAAACTTTCTGTTACAGCAGAGAAACAAACACTCAGAGCAGAGAAAATAACAGCAACAAATATAGCAAACAAAAAACAGCAGGACCAACCAGCAAAGCCACAGATACATCAGCTGTATCATGACTGCAACTGCATAGGTAGTTATGAAGCTCTGAATAACAGAAGACTCACTGCCTCTGGTTCTGTGTGTTCGGGGAGGCAAAGGGACTCCGTAATGCAGCCATGCGGACCAGCTGTCGCCTGCCTCCACCTGTTTTCACTCCTCGTACGCTGGCCTCGGGAGTCTTTCTGCCTCTGGAGCCTGGGGTACGTCCAGGTGTGGCTGTTGATCTGGGGGTGCGTCTGGGTGTTGTAGCTCGGCGAGGTGTACGTCTTGGGGTACGGGAAGTTGATGCACCAGCTTCTTCCCCATCACATATCCGACCCGGGGTTTCTACCAAACACTCTTCACGTGAAAACTCTCTGTTCCTCTGTAGCCTCTGGGTAAGGGACAAAAGGAGAGATGATAGGGAGGATACAAATTAGCACATAAGTGGCTTGATTATCATACATTTACATCCCAAACTGAATTAACAAGGGCTCTAAATGTAGGGTTTTTTGATTGACTTACATGGCATCAAAAGTAAAAAGACAGCAACTTGAGATTAAGGCCTCTTCACACACAAAGTCAGCTGGAAACCCTCACCTGATACACTTCAGTGATGGAGTTCCGAGCACTGCGTGTAAGTTTACGGACTGGGTTGGGCTTTGGCTGCTCCTTCATGGTTTCCCAAGTTGGATTCTCTGGGAGAGAGTTGGTCTGGACTGCACGCAGCGGGAGCCGCTTGCGCAAAGACATGCGCAGAGAATTGAGTGAAGATGAAGAGCGAAGCTTGCGGAAACGGTCGGGGGCTTCTGGGGAGCTCTCGGCCCCGTCGGACTCATCCAGGACTGTGTGTGCCCGCCAGACTCCCACCACAGCTTTACCAACTCCATCCATCACTGAAGATGCCATGCTTACCTGCAAGAGGGGAGTGGAGGGTTAACAGAGCAGCTGAGGCTGTATTATGATAGGATAAACATTTTAATAGCAGATTGCAAAGCAGATGTTTCAAGTGCTTTATAACGTTACATGTTTAAAGTAAATAAATAACTCCACATCTCGTGCAAACTTTCTGGTGCAGTAGATAGAATGTCTGCAACTAATTTAATAATGTATGAAGCAAAAATGTTACAGCTTTTCAAGTGTAAGAGTTTACAGTTTTTCTCTTTTTAACATGGTTGTAAATTGAATGAGTTTTGGACTATTGGTTGGAGCAAACAACCTATTTAATAACATAATCTTTAGCTCTGATAAATTATGATGGAGCATTTATGAATAACTAGATTAATCAAGAGAGATACCTCCAATACAGGACATAATTCAAATAAAAGAAGCTTATTAAAGGCCACTTAGAGCAACAAAAAAATGATATATTTCCAGATGTTAAGACTGAGATAATCAAGTTTAACTCTTCACAATCTTGGGCTAATTTAAGTGTAACTGGTGCTTTGAGAAATGACTGCACAATTATGTGTTACTGACCAAAAATGTGAAAAATGTTGATGAACAAAGGAGGGGAAATGACCCGTAACAACCCGTACAACAAGGCAGCAGTTAATCGTGTTAGTGAAAGTTTGGTGGCCATTGTTTGATCAGGATTTCTAGCTTTGCACACTGACCTTAACGTTAACGTTATGGCTCCATTAAAAAACACAGAGGAGTAAATAGCAGTGATTTAGCATTTAAGCGTCAAATGGGAAGTTACAAGTTTCACACTCGTAACAATTTACCGTAGTATTAGCATCATTAGCAATAACAGGGCGGTGATTATCATTCACAAACAATAAGAGGGCTGTGTTCGCACCGGCTGCTTATCAGCAGAAATGTTAGCTAACTTTAATACCTCCGTTGTTACGCTAACGGTAAATAACGTCCACGTTACACACCTCACATTAATACCAGCTGTTTATCCAGCTGTTGTACCGAGTCGCTTTCTTACCTGAAAGTTTCAGTTGTGTGTGAGTCGTCTGCTTCAGCTGCCTGCTACTGCTGTTGTTTCTTTCTTCCACTATTTGAATTTGGCGGTGGACCGCAGACCGCACGGCACAAACACAGTACCACGCCCTGTACGCAACGACCCCCCCAAGTGACGTAATACGTTACGTCTTGACGTAAGATTAAATTGACGCATTGGAAATATTATTGAAAATAAATATTTATAATAACAGACCCTGAAAACAAAATGGCTCCTTCTCAAATGAAGACCAAATAACTGCTTTGTATTAACTATAATTTGTATTTTTATTTTATTTATTTTTTCTTTTTAAGTTTTTTCCTTTATTGTGTCTGACATCTTTTTTTTATTCCTTTTTTTGTTTTTTGTTTTTTAAACACGGTTTCATGGCCATTTACTTTAATAATATGATGGACGTGCCTATTGCTGTAATTCCAAATTGTTCAATAAAGTTTACAAAAATTATTAGTTTAATTTAAAACTGCAATTAAAAAAAAAAAAAAAAATGTTTTTAATTACTTTATTTTGAAGGCACTAAAATAAATCAATAATAATAATCAGAAAGCCATGTTCAATAAAATTTATAAAAAATATTAATTGACTTTAATCTTTAATTATTTTTTTTTCAATTTCATTTTTTTCAATTCAAGTTTTCAATCACTTGGAAAATGTAAAGGGTCACAAAGAAAACCAACAATTGGTTAAAAATTGAGATGAAACAATACTAGAAAAAATAAATAAATAAAATAAAATAAGATAAAATTAATAATCAGAAAGCCATGTTCAATAAAGTTTATAAAAAATATAAATTAAATCTGAAAATTCAATTCAAAATTCAAAATAAAAAAAAGTTTTCAATCATTTTACTTTGAAGGTCAACAATTGGTTCAAAACAGAGATGAGACAATATTAGCAAAAAAAGAAAAAAGAAATCAAATAAATAAATGCCATAAATAAATAAATGAATAAAATAATAATATTCAGTCAAGTCTATTACCATCTACCATTCCCTGACCTGTTTTCAGTTTCTGTGTATCCCTGTTTCCTTTTTCTTTCTTTTTGTATAACTATTTATGACCACCACAGGTAAAATTAATTGTAATTAATCATAAGATTGTAGTGTTAGACAAGTAAACTGATATTCATAATTGTTTGCAGATTTATTGGATACATTTCTGGAATAAAACTGAGAAAAAAAAATCCCTGCAGATTATCTTCATTATGATCATCATGTCGCAACCTTTCTGAAATATCTGTCCAACATACTTTGCCTTTTTATTTTGCAGTACACTGTACTACAGTATACAAGCTAATGTAGATTAAACTCAGACAAGTGAAATTCATGTTCACTGAGTAGCAGTTCTTTCAGCTACGATCAAATGCAATCCCATACAACAGTCCAGCAATAAAGCTTATCTTTGTGAGGTTTATGATGTTCAGATTTTAATGACTTGGCCTGAGATATTGATTTATTACCAAACTTACCAGGTGGCTGATGAAACCTGGAAGGCTTTTGCGTCAGCTAGTGTTGCTGTTGTATTGCAGTACTGTTTCTAATATTTTGTCCACCCCATTTAGATACATAAGGAGGACAGAAAGTGATTAACACATCTCAATTTAACAAAGTTAAGCCTACATATCATGCAACAGATATTTATCTGATATATAATGATATGGGGGAAATGAAATATAGATAAAAAATTTCATTGGAATTACCTGGTTAAGAGTTAAATTAAATAAATACCTGATGATAAATACTCAGTTTGTTCTGCTGCATTGTGCAGCCTATTGACACAGACAGACAAGAAGAGCAGGTCACTACATTTGCTATTTGTCATATAACTTGGGGTTTTTCTCTTCCTCATTTTAATACTTCACTCTGTCTTTATTTGCACATTTACAGAAAGCTGTCATTATCATGGATAGGAGGTGCTTTAAAGCAAAGTGACCAGCAGATGTCACTACAGACCTGCATGGGAAACACATTCAAGCACCCAAGCTTCGAGATCTTTGTCATTATCACGTATTTTGTTTTAGTCTGTTGTGATTTAATAAAGGCATTTAAAAAAGCTCAGGTCTCCACTTTTAGTCTGTTTTTTCTTTTAAAACAATTTGTGATGAAGCTGTTTGGTGAAAAGAGTTTTACACATGTCAGTTTGCAAGTTAACCAGAGCTCTGAGCAACATTCAGATTCTTATTTTGGCATGAAATGAACACGTGAGACTTCTGAGAGTTAATTAGTCCTCACATTGTTAATAATTACTGACTTCTGGAGAAAATCATAGCCAACTTAAAAGCCTCACACAGGAAGGGATCAAATTCTTGACTACAGATTGGAAGCTGTGGGCAAAGCAGCTTCTTGCACAATAAAAGCCTCCACTCAAGCCTGTCCTCATACTGCATATTTGATAACAACTTTACTGTGCACACTTGTGCATTCTTGTCAAACGTGCTGCCATCCTTGTTTGGTATTGCACTGTTTTATGTGAACCTGTTAAATGTTTCTTTATTGGTAAGAACACAAGGATCTCGACCTTGACCCTCATGACTTCATATTCTCCTTCCCTTTGTCTCATTAAGAGTAAATGTATAACGTGATTTTAACATGCCGTGATTGTATTGTTGAGTCAGGAGTTAAAGTTCAGCGCAAATGTGGAAACTAGAGACCAACATGTTGAGGAACATAAGCACTTTAATTGTAAGATACTGACAAGAAACAGGCAGTGCTGAGTCACTCTATGAAACGTAACAAGTTCAAGGATGATCTTTACAGATTGTCCTGCCATAATCAACAGATAATACAGTGGATGGCATGCTACATTTCGTCAGATTTTAAAGGACATTTGGGGAAAAATGTTTCTTTGCTTTGTTGCTGAGAATTAGATGAGAAGACTCGCTAGGAACAATAGAAATAGCAACCCTAGATCAGTCAAAGGGTGAAAGAAATCCACCCATCAGCACCTCTAAAGCTCACTTTTTATTATGTTATATCTTTTTTGTTTAATCCGTACAAAAACCTGCCCAGTGAGGTATTACTGTGGAATAACCTTTAGACAATACCTGGCTGGTGCTAGCAGTTTCCCATTGATTCCAGTATTTGTGCTAAGCTAAGCAGTCCCGCTGGTGGCTGTACTGTGGCTCCATATTTAACAGACATATAGAGCAGTGGTATTGGTCTTCAGACTCTCAGTGTGAAAGCAAATAAGCTATTTTAGAGATCTAAACTATTTAGCAAAATGTCGACATAAAAAAACAACAACAGGCAAACATGATCAGATTGGTAAATGGGTAATCACGGTCTCATGCACACAAAACAGAGTCTCCAAATGTCTTCATGGCATTTGTTGAAGTAGAGAAGACCAGTTATTTCGAGCACAAGCACTGTAAAAAGACAAACAAAGCATTAGCAGGTTCAGTTTGTAGCGAGTCTAGGTCAGTCTTTGTGTTGTATGACGTGTGTTTTGTGTGTTACCTTTGCGATTTTGTTCCACCGTGAAATGACAGCAAGAATTGCAGTAAGACCCACCACCACCAACCCTGCTATCATGGGGAACAGTGGGAACTTCACGGTCTTTGCTACAGATGAGGAGGAAGAAAATGATCATCCCACTTTTTCTATGTCTTCATCTTCATATCACTGACACACTTGTTATCTTGAATGTGCCGATTACACAAGAGCAATACCATATTAAATAATCAACAGTGAGATGTGGCCTAAGCAGGATTGAGGTGTGAACTGACCTATCACCGTGACATGAAATAACTTGTGCCCTACATAGCCGGGAGCCTCTGCTGTGCACTTATATGTGCCTTCATGCAAGCTTCTCTCCACGCTGTTGGTGGTTAGCCGGCTTGTATAGCCGTCATTGGTCAGCGAAAAGCCACCTGCAAATAGATCCACGTTGCTTCCATTTAGTGTCCAAGACGCGGATGAGACAGATGGATTGGCCTTGATGTCACACTGCAGGACCATCACAGCTTCTTCTTCTACTGTGACTTCCTCTGACCCAGAGAGCTGTGGGTGATCTGAGGAGGAACGTCACAGACAAAATGTTTTAATGGCATGTTAACCTATTAGCCAGCAGTTTCAGTTATATGTCCACATGGAAGACAATGTCAGTCTTTTGGTTGGTCCACCACTTTGGTCCAGACTGAAACACCTTATAAACTATTAGATTACCAAAAAAAAATCTACAGAAAGTCATGGTTTCCAGAAGATGTATTCTAATAACTTTTCCCCCCAGTCAATCAATACCTTCATTAACATTACACAGCTGTGCAACAAAATTAGGTGTCTCTGGTGGTACAGAAGTTTCAACACATGCATCCAAACACATGCAGCATTTTAGATAATGTAGGTATTTAGACTCTGTTTTTTACTTCCTCAATTTGTTATTGTCGCTGTTGAGCCTGCAGCCACACGACTGGTTCTGTGATGCTGTACAAACATCAAAATGCTCACAATGACAATGCTAACATAAGTGGGTAACGCACCGTACCTTTCCCACTTATGTTAGCATTGTCATCATCGTTGTTGAGCGTGTTAGCATGCACACTAGAACAAAACACAATGTGCAGCTGATGGAAACTAGTTTTGCAGATATTTGGTCATAAACCAAAATTGGACAAACCCTGATGTGATGGTAGCACCCGAGGAAAAGTCAAAGGATCACTAATGTTAGTGTGATTCATCCTCTGAGGACTATGAATATCCGTACAAACTTTTCAAGCCAGTCCGTCCAGTAGTTGTTGAGATATAATTATAGATATAGATAATGGTCCATCAAATCAAATCTAGTGTGTGTGCATGTGTGTGTGAGTGTCTGTGATCCCTTGTGTTGTGGATATGATCCTGCAGTGGTCAGTGATTATGTGATGGCACCATCAGTGCTCAGGTCAGAGGTTAAACTCCCAGCGGAGCAATCCATTCTAACAATAATGGAAGATTTGTGACTGATCAGACACTGTGATTACATGAGCTGCAGTGCTCAGACCTTATCATATCATCCTATTTATATTTTAGTGGAATGAAGAGGACTCATTGTGCTATTATGCATTCATCACTGTGCTGCAAATCTAACAATTGACAGAATTATATATTACTTTGGACCAACCAAAGTGGTGGGACACACACATGAGACAGACTGAAAAGTCTGTTTGTTAGTTACTTAGGTTTTTGTCCAAGATTTGGGGGGAAACATATGAAATGGGGAGTTTGTGTGTCCTCTACCATTAAATAAAACACCTAATTTCCTGCATTTTGGTGATTTTTTTTATGCACCATTTAGTGGAAATATATGTTCTAAATATTAACACATTACCAACATTTATATGAAGGGACTTACATATGACATTCAGGGTAACTGAGGCCATAGAAGAGTCATTTTTCTTCAGGTGGCAGGTGAAAGTGGCACCATTGTCTTCAAGGATGACTGGTGTAACACACACGCTGCTACGACCCCTCTTATTTTCTTCCTGCAGAGCGACGGCAGCGCCATTCCTCAGCCACACCAACTCTTCGTCGGCTTGAGTCTCATGGTCGCCATCAGTCTGACAAACCAGAGACACAGTCATATCCAGCTCTGTCTGTACAACACCATCACTGTTGACTCCTGGGACAGACTGGATGTTGACACCTTAGGATAGGAAAGGGGGAGAAAGTTGAGTGAAGCAATGAAAGCTTAGACTGCACAAAAGTGGCAAGAAATCTTTTAATGGAATGATTTAACTGAAGAGGAAAGTCAGTTCAATTCTTGGGAGCCAGATTTACAAACAAGACATGTTTACCTAATGTCTGGGTCACACAGTACAGGAGCAAATGGAAAAGAAGGGGTCTGAACATCTTCATTTTATTCTTCTTTGGATAAACCTGAAGGGGATCATTCATACATAGTTAATTTCAAATTCCAACAGAATTTAAATTCACCAAAACTTAAGAACTTTCAAAATAATAAACAAGATAAAATAAAATAAAATAAAATTAAATTAAATTAAATTAAATTATGTAGCTCCAGACGTGCATCAGTAACAGACTCTTGATTTGACTTTACATTGCCCTTTGTTTCCTTTCTTATTGCCTTCTGTGTTTTATGTGAAGCACTTTTAATTGCCTTGTGTTAAAGGTGCTATACAAATAAACTTGCCTTGCCTGATATTCTCAGTTGTGTTCCTCAACCATAATCATTTGTGTTTTTACCCTCAGTGTAATTTTCCATTTTCCCTCCTCTCATTCAGTCAATCAACGTATCTTTGCGAGCAACACCTTTCTCCTGTGCCCCTCTGGTAGGCCTTAAACCACTCATTTTTTGAGCAGGTTTAGAGAATACTTGATCCAAATATTCAAACTTAGCACACATGTGATCTGTCATGAGTATAATCGATTGTTCTGAAAGAGTGCAAAGTTGCAAAAATGAGTGCAAGACAATTTTTGTAAAACATAAAAAACTCATCTTGTAGATCTTCCTCATGAGATAATTTACATGCTTTTAAATATAACACTCAGGCAATTAGGTACAGCTCTACACATTAAGTGTAAAAGTCAGATCCCAGAATATCTGTAATTTATCACGACGTAAGATCTTAATGCATTAACAAAAGTGTGACTAGAATATTGTGTCCAAGACAGGCGGCCCATGGTGTTACATTATGTTCTCTCTAGTGTTTGTTTTACTAAATTTAGACAAACCTGCCTGTTAGAGCTGCTGTAAAAAAATCATCCCTTTGGATGAAAGCATTAAATTAATGCACTCCACTTTTCTTGAAAGGGACAGTTTGTACTTGCTGGCACTTATTACTTGATATCAAAGTCATATGTAATTGCAGTTTGCTTAAACGACTTAGAGTTACTACTTTTTCTTTGGAAGCACAGTAGTGATGCTCTCTGGGTTTATACCCACAAAATAAACTATTCTCATGGAATACACTGAGAAATGTGGATATAATCACCCACAGCATGCTCATGTACTAATACACAGAAGAGGTTCTTACCTGACCAGGATTATTTCTTCTTATTCCTTGTCTGTGCTTCTTTATGATGTTCCCTGTGTGTGAATATGAGAGATGTGGAGGACAGTTCAGATCTTCAGCAGCTCTTATATATGCTCCATGTGCACATGAGGACACTTTTACAACTTCCTTCACGGTTTCTTAATGACTTTCTCATCATTCCACTTTCCCATTCCTGCCATCCCCCCCCCCCCCTGATTTTTTTCTGGTTTCTTTTTTATTGTTGTATACTTTAAATGTGCAAACACAAGGGCATTTTTATTGGCTGCAGTCATTAAGATGACACTAAAACTTCGTGGGTGTGGATATAAAGATTCAAACACACATTTTACAGGTTCTTTTCATGTTTGGTTTTTATAGTTAAATGTTCTTAAAGCCCATAACACATTAATAATGCAGTTTGCTAATTTATTTGACCTTATTTTATTGTGTTTTTGATTTCATTGTATTAAATTTACACTATCTGTATTTCCTATGTCCTGACGTGAGAAGAGTGTTAAAGCTATTGTGAGGTTCCCTAATAAAAAGTTACGACTGTGACACTTGCGTTTGTTGGGTTCTTTCCTTGTGCACTCCTCCCTTTCTTCAAGTTCATGTCAAATGATTGACAGTAAGCAGAGGCCAGTATAATGAGTGTATTGATATAAAAATGAGTCATAAATATTTTTTTGTCATGATATCAAAGCTGCTAAATACCCAGAGTACATGTACTCTTACATTTGCACTTTAAACAGCAGCAAGCATTTCTGTCTCCTCTGACAAATTATTTGCTGCACAGAATGTGATGCATGTTATCACTGGTGGAAAGTAACTAAATACACGTACTCAATAACAGTACTGTAAGTTCAGTTTTGAGGTACTTGCAAAATAATGTGTCGAACATCCTTTACTTCAGTAAAAGTAGAAATACATTGCGGAAAAATACTCCATTACAAGTCAAAGTCCTGAATTCAAAATATTATACTGTGAAAGTTTTTATCAATGACATATAGATGCAGGAGCATCTTAATGTTGTACTTTGTCAGTGTAAAACAAATTTTAGACACCTTGTATGCTATTGGGTAGAAGTATAAGCACACCATGTTTATATTCTTCTGTAAAAAGTAACTCGCAACTAAAAGACTCAAATAAATCTAGCGCAGTAAATTGTACGATATTTTCCTCTGTCATGTCATGGATGTGAACATAAAGCAATTTACAATGGATATATTTAAGTAAAATAAAAAAAATGTACACAAGTTTTACACATTAAGTAGGCCTGATTGAAAATTAGTTGTATGCATGCTAGAGGAGGACACAATGTACAGCTGATGGAGATGTCATAAACCAACACTGGACAAATCATGACCTGGTGATGGCACTAGAGGAGAAGTCAGGGGATCACCAAAGTCTGTGATTCATCCTTTGGGGACCATGAATATCTGAATACAATTTCACAGCAGTCCATACAATAGTTGCTGAGATATTTCAGGCTGACAAAACAGAGACAGAGCCCTCGGCCTGACTGAAAGCCTCACTGTGAGCAGCTACTGCAATAAAATGCTGATTTCATGTTGCAATTGCAGTATGCATCAGTAGTGTAATAATTAATAAGTTATAAAACAATATACAACTGAAAGGGGCCATTATCCCGCATGATCAGTACTTTGAGTTCTACTGAGCCTATTTCATGTATATAAATGACGTCAATTTCAATTCAATCAATTCAATTCAATTTCAATTTTATTTATAAAGCCCAATATCACAAATCACAATTTGCCTCACAGGGCTTTACAGCATACGACATCCCTCTGTCCTTAAGACCCTCACAGCGGATAAGGAAAAACTCCCCCAAAAAAAACCCTTTAACGGGGAAAAAAAAACGGTAGAAACCTCAGGAAGAGCAACTGAGGAGGGATCCCTCTTCCAGGACGGACAGACGTGCAATAGATGTCGTACAGAACAGATCAGCATAATAAATTAACAGTAATCCATATGACACAATGAGACAGAGAGAGAGAGAGAGAGAGAGAGAGAGAGAGAGAGAGAGAGAGAGATGCAGGTAATGACAGTAGCTTACAACAACATTATTGAAAGTAATAATATTATAGTTATAGTTCTGGCTACTGTGGTACAATATGTTGAAAGTATGTATTAATATCTGGCAGTATACATGTGTGACAATAGTCATATGTGTATAATAACAGTAGAAGTATGACTAATGACTAATGATGGCAGCAGCAGCAGGAGGCATCTGGCAGGACCACGGCAGCAGCACAACCACACACGTCACGCTGTCCAGGCACCGCTGCGATATGAGTTAATCTGAGAGACAGTGGAGCACAAAGGCTCCGGAGAAGAAGCCGAGTTAGTGACATCCAGAATGGCCGAGTTAGCAAGATGCAGTAATAGGATGAGAGTGAGAGAGAGAGAGAGAGAGAGAGAGAGAGAGAGAGAGAGGGAGAGAGAGGGAGCCCGGTGTATTATAGGGGGTCCTCCGGCAGACTAGGCCTAAGTCAGCCTAACTAGGGGCTGGTACAGGGCAAGCCTGAGCCAGCCCTAACTATAAGCTTTATCAAAGAGGAAAGTCTTAAGTCTAGTCTTAAATGTGGAGACGGTGTCTGCCTCCCGGACCGTAACAGGAAGATGATTCCACAGGAGAGGAGCCTGATAGCTGAAGGCTCTGGCTCCTGATCTACTTTTGGAGACTTTAGGGACCACGAGTAACCCTGCGTTCTCAGAGCGCAGTGTTCTGGTGGGATAATATGGCACTATGAGCTCTCTAAGATATGACGGAGCTTGACCATTTAGAGCTTTATAAGTTAACAGTAGGATTTTAAATTCAATTCTGGATTTTACAGGGAGCCAGTGCAGAGAAGCTAAAACAGGAGAAATATGATCTCGTTTCTTAGTTCCTGTTAGTACACGTGCTGCTGCATTCTGAATTAGCTGGAGAGTTTTTAAGGACTTACTAGAGCTACCTGATAATAGAGAGTTACAGTAATCCAGCCTTGAGGTAACAAAAGCGTGGACCAATTTTTCTGCATCTTTTCGGGTCAGGATAGGCCTAATTTTCGCAATATTACGCAGATGAAAAAATGCAGTCCGTGAGGTTTGCTTTAAATGAGAATTAAAAGACAAATCTTGATCAAATATTACTCCGAGGTTTCTTACGGTAGTGCTAGAGGCCAGAGCAATGCCATCTAGAGAAACTATGTCATCAGATAAAGAGTCTCTGAGTTGTTTGGGGCCAAGAACAATAACTTCAGTTTTGTCTGAATTTAACATCAGGAAATTGGTGCTCATCCAATTTTTTATGTCTTTAAGGCAGTTATGGAGTTTAGTTAATTGATTACTTTCTTCTGGCTTCATCGATAAATACAACTGTGTATCATCCGCATAACAATGGAAATTTATAGAGTGATTTCTAATGATGTTACCTAAAGGAAGCATATATAGAGTAAATAGGATTGGTCCGAGCACAGAACCTTGCGGAACTCCAAAACAAACTTTGGTACGTAAGGATGATTCATTACGAACGTCAACAAATTGAAAACGATCAGATAAATAAGATTTAAACCAGCTTAGTGCTGAACCTTTTAGGCCAATTAAGTGATCCAGTCTCTGCAGTAGAATTTGATGGTCAATTGTGTCAAACGCCGCACTAAGATCTAATAAAACAAGAACAGAGACGAGTCCTTTGTCTGAAGCAATCAGAAGGTCATTTGTAATTTTAACTAGAGCTGTCTCAGTGCTATGATGCACTCTAAATCCTGACTGAAATTCCTCAAATAAATTATTATCCTGGAGAAAATCACACAGCTGGTCTGCGACTACTTTCTCAAGGATCTTTGACATAAAGGGAAGATTAGATATTGGTCTATAGTTGGCTAACACCTCTGGATCCAGGGTGGGCTTTTTTAGGAGAGGTTTAATTACAGCTACCTTAAAAGACTGTGGTACATAGCCTGTTAATAGGGATATATTGATCATATCTAATATATGAGTGTTAACTAAAGGAAAGACCTCCTTAAGTAGCCTAGTTGGGATGGGGTCTAAGAGACACGTTGATGATTTAGATGAAGAAATCACTGCGGTCAATTCTTGAAGAGAAATTGGGGAGAAGCAATCTAAATATATATTAGATTCTACAGCTGTGTTTGAGGTTAGATAGGTAGGCCTACCATCTGAGGGCAGGAGGTCATGAATTTTGCCTCTAATAGTTAGAATTTTGTCATTAAAAAAGCTCATAAAATCATTACTGCTAAGGGCTAAAGGAATACAAGGCTCAATAGAGCTTTGACTCTCAGTCAGCCTGGCTACAGTGCTGAAAAGAAACCTGGGGTTGTTCTTGTTTTCTTCTATTAATGCTGAGTAATAGTTTGCTCTGGCATTGCGGAGGCCCCTCTTATAAGTTTTGAGACTGTCTGTCCAGATTAAACGAGATTCTTCCAGTTTGGTTAATCGCCAATTCCTTTCAAATTTTCGCGATATTTGTTTTAACCTACGGGTTTGAGAGTTATACCAAGGAGCAAACTTTCTTTGCTTTGTTAACTTCTTTTTAAGAGGAGCTACAGAGTCGAGCGTTGTTCGCAGCGAGCCTACGGCGCTATCAACAAAATGATCAATTTGGGAGAGGTTAAAGTCGGCACGGGAAACCTCTGTTACTGAAGGTATTGGTATTGAATTTAACGACGAAGTAATCTTTTCCTTAAATTTTGTGACAGCACTATCTGATAAACATCTAGTATAGTAACTGTTGCTGAGTGGCGTGTAATCGAGTAAAAAGAAATCAAAAGTAATCAGATAATGATCTGATAGCAAGGGATTCTGTGGAAAGACTTTTAGGTTATCAATTTCAATTCCATACGTCAGAACTAGATCGAGGGTATGGTTAAAACAGTGAGTGGGTTCATGTACACCCTGACTGAAGCCAATGGAGTCTATTAATGAGATAAACGCGGTAGCCAGGGAGTCATTATCAACGTCGACATGAATGTTAAAATCGCCTACAATAATAACTTTATCTGATTTAAGAACTAAACTGGATAAAAACTCTGAGAATTCAGATACAAATTCAGAATACGGGCCAGGAGCACGGTACACTATAACAAATAAAAGTGGCTGCGAGGTTTTCCAGGTCGGATGTAAAACACTAAGAACGAGGCTTTCAAATGAATTATAATCTAGTTTAGGTTTAGGGCTGATTAACAGACTAGAGTTAAAAATGGCTGCAACTCCCCCTCCTCGGCCGCTGCCTCGAGGAATGTGGGTATTATTATGACTGGGAGGAGTGGACTCATTTAGACTAACATATTCATCTTGACACAGCCAGGTTTCAGTGAGACTGAGTAAATCAATATGATTATCTGATATTAATTCGTTTACTAACACTGCTTTAGACGATAGAGACCTGATATTTAACAGTCCGCATTTAATTCTCCTGTTTTGTCTTTCTGTCACAGAAGAGGTTTTAATTTTTATGAGGTTGTTATGCACAACTCCTCTTTGTTTAATTTTAGATTTAAATAATTTAGGTGGTCGGGGGACAGACACCGTTTGTATAAAACTATGAAAACTATGGCTGGGTAACTGAACTAGAAGCTCAGAGAGGCGTTTAGGACTGCAACTCTCTGTCCTGGTCTCAACTCTGGGTTGTCAGGGATTTAAATTACTAATAAAATTTGCCAGGTTCCTAGAAATGAGAGCAGCTCCATCCAAAGTGGGGTGAATGCCGTCTCTCCTAATAAGACCAGGTTTTCCCCAGAAAGTTTGCCAATTATTAACAAAACCCACATCGTTTGCTGGACACCACCTGGAGGTCAGCACCTTTCTTCATTTATTAGTTGAAACAAAGTGTGAAGGATCACACCTCACCTCATTATTTATCAAAGAAGTGTATAGATTTAAGTTCTCCCACCACTTCCCTCTGAATAAATCAACAAAAAGGCCCCTTTTACTCATATTTATTTTAATCAATGTCAAGATTATTGATTATGAAAACTATCATGGGCATATTATTATGATTTTGCCCTGCAAAGCCAGGTCAATATTATTAAACTATCACGTTATAAAAATGTATACTTTTGAGGAAATATAACTAGAAAATATAAAATATTCCGCAGTGACCGGACACTGTTTGAATTTTTTTTTTTAACCGGTCGCTGGGGGCGGCGGAAATAAGTTGCGACCACAAAGTTGACAGTTAATGCGCACTGACACTGACCTGCAGCCTGCACGTATAGGACAGGACAAGGTTAAGTTCATACGGCGTATCTGACATTATCATTCATCTGGAGTCGTGTGTCCACCTGCTGAATGTAAGTGCAATATTCACTCTCTTTAAAACTCTGTTTGCTATATATATAATATAATATGTCACTGGTAGATACCGGGGAAAGCCAAAATGCACAGGTCTACATTTGCATGGTCATTTTGTGAAGAACGCAAATTACATTAATAGCCTAATTCAATTACCTGTATGATCATGCTGACAAATCAGCATCGGAGCTCTTGAAATGTTTCACCACAGAAACAGCTACTGTAACACACAGTCAGATAAGTTCTGATATCTGTGGTGTTTTCAAGCCATATGGACATTTTTACTTACTTTAGCTATGTGCACCTTTACAGCAGACCTCCTTCCTCCCCCACTAGGGAGAGGCATTGACCAGCGGGACAAGGTGTGTTCAGCTGCAGGTAAGTAGGCCTGTGAAATGTAAGTCAGACCAATATTCTTTCTTTCTTTCTTTCTTTCTTTCTTTTTCGTTCTTTCTTTCTTTTCTCCATGCGGCGATAGTCGTTATTTTTTCGAGTTGTCTGTCCGTCCCATTCTCATGGAACGCCACATCCCAGGAACGCATGGCCTCGAGGGAATTTCTTCAAATTTTGCACAAACTTAAAAATGATTGTGAACTGATTAGATTTTGGTGGTCAAAGGTCAAGGCCACTCCGTCCTCACAAAACAGTGATTATTTATATCCAAAAGGTCAAAGGTCGACTTCACTGTGACATCATAAGATCCTACAAAAACACTTTCCTGGCCCATAATTATTTAAAACTTTGTGTTTCATCCGGATGGGTGTGGTTTTGCAGGATGCAGCAGTGCATGCTTCAGTGAGCTGGACATTCTACTTTATATCAGTGGTTCCCAACTGGTGGGTCGGGGTTCAAAATTGGGTTGCGGGTCCACAAGTGATTTGCAAATGTGTCAAGTTTGAAACACTTTATTAACTTTATTCTAAAGTACAGTGAATTTCCAACAGCTTTAATTTGAAGTTTCCTATTGAGCAATTTGAGACAGCTACTTAACAGAGACAGCAAACTAACTGGATGACATGGCCGAACGCAAGTATGACTCTGAATATATCAAACTGAGTGGGCCTTGAACTGATCCCTAAGAAGAATTCTGGACCCCATAGCTGGACTGTTGGGAACCTGCATGCACCTTTGTAGTACAAGAGCGCAAACCAAAAAAACCTGAATTATGTTGGTGTGATGAAAACGAGAAGTTGGACACGAGTTTTATTTGGGGAGTTTTCCTTATCCACTGTGAGAGTCAAAGGACAGAGGGATGTCATAAGCTATAAAGCCCTCTGAGGCAAACTGGCAATTGTGATATTGAGCTGTATACATTAAATTGATTGATTGATTTTATTTCTAAAGCTTGGAAAATTAGGCAAACCAGACTGAATAATACACACATACAATAGGAGATTAGCTTATTTGCCTGTCAAGTATTAAGGCATACAGGATATAGCCCATGTTTTCCTATAATTTGTATATTTTGTCTCATGCACATGGACACTGGTTGTCTGCCTTGTAAGCTGGTTTGGACTGGGCAATGATGCAAGATGGTACACTGATATTGAAATACAGACCCCCCACATTTATTCTATTTAAATGTCAATATATTTTCACACTAGTTAGCTGTATCCGTCATAACATTAGGATGGTCAATTTGAGAATTCATGAGATCTCATCTCTCTGATTGTCATGTGTGAAAAAGAGTGCGCTCTTTATGTGATGTTGCACAACTGACTCACTTGTAACCTATATACTCATATAGACACATGCAGGTATCTCTTGTTTCTCACCTTACAGACACACACTCTCACACACACCTGGAACCTCTTCAGCTGTAATGCGTAAGCTGATAGCTGTGCTTGTGACCTCCTTTGGTCATAATGATACATATCAACTGTGAACCTCCCCAAACTGTGTCTGAGAAGCTAAAGATAAACATCTGTGACTGAACCCATACCGTTGCTCAGTCACAGTCAGTTATTAACATTATAGGTTGAAGATACCTGTAGGTGCTGGTGAATGAATGTTAAAGTTACAGAGCTCCGTCAGGATGATGAACGCGGATCTGTGTGCACATGCGCCTATGTTTGTTTATGTGACAAGTAGGCCGACCCAAGAGATAAAGTCAGTGGTCAAAGTACAACCAGAGGCAGATAAGATCAGCAATACGCACACACACACACACACACACACACACACAAACATAAATAGCATGGTTGCCCCATGAGCAATTAATTAAAGCCTGCTGAGTTTATGCCATCAGAGCTCTTTGTGTACAACGTGCAAACAGACATTCTTCATCAGATTACTACTGAGCCCGGTAAGACCACACACACACACACACACACACACACCAAAACATGTTAATGAAACACTACAGATACTCAGACACACAGTATTCCCTCCCTCAACCAAGAGGCATTCATCAGCTCTGCGTTGACCCTTGTATTCACAAATAAAGACTTTTGTTCTTTTCCACTCCCTCTGTCACTCCCCTTGTTTTCTTTTCCTTTATTCATTCTCTCATCTGCCTCCTCCTCTTAACGCATATTATTCAATCAATAACTCTGAAGAAGTGCATGGGTTGTATTTCTAAACCCTGATAGAGTGACTGCCCCTCTTACCCTTGCTCTCTCTTTCCCCACTCCCTCCCTCCCTCCCTCCCTCCCTCCCTTGTCCCTTTAGCTTTTCTCCCCTCTCTCTTCTTTTTCTGTGTTTGAATGGAGAAGCTGGGTTCCCCGGAACCTGCACACCCTGTGCCGGGTGCAGGGCCTGTTGCTGGGGTTTCTGTTGCCAAGACGGCAGGGGCTGAGGGAGACGAGGCAGCGGCGGCGGTGATCAACTCCAAACTGTTTCGGTGTGCGTGTGTGGGACGTTGGCTACCACTGGCCTACAGAGAAGAACTCTACCACATCTTACGGCTCACAGGCCCACTGGTGAGTAGGGGAAAGTTGAAGTGTTGGTGGGGGGGGGATTGGTATGTTATTCACAAAGTGCCATGACTGTTAAACATTCGGTTCCTGTGTGTATTAGTTGCATGGAAACGGTTTAATGTGCACTCTTACAGAGTACAATCTAAGTGCAATCAATTACAAGCTCTGAAATTTATATGCACAGTATGCAAATGAAATAAAATGGTGCCTACTGTGTATCTTAGTGCTGAGTACAGATTAGCTCTGCGTTCAGTTAACAGCAATCGTTTGCTGCACTAGTTTTACCTGATCAATGATGGGCTGTTTGGAAATGAGTCAAAGTCTTTCTGTTTGTTTCTACAGCTGCTGTCTCGGATTCTGAACTTCCTCATGCCGTTTGTTATCACCATATTCTGTGGTCACATTGGCAATGCAGAACTGGCTGGATACGCACTGGCCTCAGCGGTAATATTTTTACTCCTTTGTGGACTAATTGATTTCACCTGCTGCAAGCAAAGTAGTTCATCTACTACCACTACTTGTTCTACTTACTGTACAACTTCTGCTGCTCCTCCTTCTGCTGTACTACTTCTACCTACTCCTTGGAGTATTAGAAATCTTTGTGTATGATGATGCCCATTGTACCTTTAAACACCAATCTGCTATACTCTGGTATCATATTTCAAAAGGGAACAGAAAAGCAAGCAAATTTAGGTCAGCACCTGCCATGTCATATGGGGTACACACAAAGAAAACAGTGCTGAAATGGTAAAGAGCCGTTGTGCAATCACCTGCACAAACAGACAGAATTTAGACACAAATCTATGCAGACTACCGAACACCAAAGAGACGAAAAACAATGTAAAATCAACACACATTATTTACTGAATCACACATGCAATGCAATTAAAATATTTTTTAAAAACCTGTCAATAGACAACCAGCATAGTGGTGTAACGTTGCCTCCCCAGTTTTAAGCTACATGCAGTATATAGACAGATGGGAGGCAGAAATCTAGTTTACCCCGAGTCAACTTACAAGAAGGTGTGCAGTTGTGTTGCTCTCAGGAACGCTTGTCACCATTTTGCTGTTGCTGTGCAGGAAGATTTCACTGTCATCCTAAGCTCTGATTTGTCGACTATTTGTCCAACTGACAAAAACAGTCGAATCGCTAAACAAATCTGAGGCGTGGGAGGCACTTCCGAGGGCCAGGCTGGTTTGGTCTAACACGTCATACCAAAATCTCCCACAGGTGTTCAGCTGGACTGAGGTGTGGTTATTCTAAAAGGGGACCTACTACACTTTTTCTTATCCCTGTGAGCAAAAACCTCAGGCTTCAGACCGTTCTGAATACTCTGTTATCGATGATTTTTCTACTTAAGAGACAAGCTGACTTCAGCTTGTGATAGATTTCTTTATATGGTCATCTCCTCTAGGAAAGCAACTGCAAGTGTTTACACTAGTTGCCTACACTGCTACATGTAGCTACATGCTAACGTCAGGGAAACATGTAATCCTGGCTGCCGATTTTAATACTTCTGATCATATTCCTGCTGGTTGTAAAGGTGATTTTTCCAGGCTGTTCTCACTCCAATCTCGTCATATCAGTCAGTCAGTCAAACAAACTCTGGACTTTCACCCTGAAGCCCACTGTTTGTTTCCTATATAGAACCAAAAGTCAATGGGGTTACTTCAGTAACATTCGCCCCTTTTCCACCAACATTTCCAGGAACTTTTATTACCAGGAATTTATTTACCTGGGTAAAAGAATTCCTGGTAATCTGTGTGGTTTGCGTTTCCACCGCACCTCAAAGTTCCGGAAAATGTATTCAGATTAGCATGATGATGTAGATGATTCGGTGTGTGCCTTATATTTAGCTTCGCCAGCTTGTTGGCTGGTAACATGGTAACATTAGTTCTGGTAGAGAGAGTTGGGGCTGTTTGTCTCAGCCAGCAGCTAGTTTTAAAAGTATTTTAATATAAGTGTCAAACTAAGTTAGTCTACATACAGACAGCTGTCATTTGAGCTTATTAGTAACAATTTGCGTGCAGTGTAAAACATAACGTTAGTGTGGGTGGATGAGAGACGGTGGACGGAGCATATTGAATATTGCTGTCTACATGTTTACCTGTTCATGCTTTCTGAACACATGTATTGATAAGGTTAGGTTGATAAGGTTTAATGGCACTTACAGTAACAAGTGTAGCTGCCGTCAACTCGAGTCATTTTTGAGTAATCTTCACTTTGTTTCCACCGTGGCCACTCACTGGTTACCATGTTGTGTAGATGTGTGTGTGGATGTGGAGGAGTTCAGTGCCGGCATAAAAGAACCGGTACTGTTAGCGCTGATCAATACTACGGTCTTTAATAATTTAGCTCCGGGGCTAATTTAGTACCCGGTTTCGGTACCCATCCTTAATCAAAACACAAACAAAGTGAAGCTTGTAGAAATGCCAGGTAAATGAGAAAAGTTTCTGCAGTGGAAAAGGGGCTAATGTAGTGTGCTATAATATACAGTATGTAGCATACTATGACACACATCACATGACGTTACATGACATTAATAACAGCTGTGCTTATTTCAAGCCAAACCATGATGTTTTTTCCCAAAACCTAACCACATGCTTTTGTTGCTTAAACTTAATGAAATAAACCTAAGAAATTAAATGTTTTACCAATGTTGTAAGTTTATTTTCAAAAAGACTGCATGCATATAATAAGCAAAAATTGTACATTTCCTGTGAAAACTAAAATGTATTTACAAAGGGCACAATGCATGTGAAAAGCATCAACTGACACGCTGTCCCTGAACATCCAAAATTGATGCAGGAGGGTACCTAGTGCATTATATTTTGACGTGTAGGTCCACTGACACAGCAGCAGCATTTAATGAGTGAGAGAATGTATGAGAATGTGTTGGATTTTTCAGGGTAGAGATTGACACTATACTCTGTTTCTGTTATTCCCTGACTGCAATAACTGTTTTGGGAGGGGGGGCTCAAAAAGATAGGTGCTAAAATGGAGCATCTCAGACAGAGGGTGAACACAGGTGTTCAGAAGGAAAATAAAGTGTATTTGGACATTAAAGTATGTAAACAAGTTCTAGTAGAAACCCAAAATAAAACTATAAACCTGAAAATGAGCATAGTGTCCCCTTTAAGGTAAATGAGTCAGAAGATATTCTGGTAACCAATTAATTAACACCTCATGCCTTGTGGGCTTCCACTGACGCAAACTTTATTTGTTTGTATTCCTCCCAGTATCAGAACTTTACAAAGTCATGGCAGCCACCTATTGGTTTGCATGGTGTCAACGCATGACCAAATTCTTGGCTAACTTGTTTGCAAACAGTTGCCATCTTACACATCCTCTAAAAAACAGCAACTTGGAGATCTGTTGAATAACAGCAGGTACGTGTAGAGCAACAAGACTTAACTAATTTAGTCACACACAACCGATGCACGTAGACAACATCAGCCTCAGTTTGGTCAGCCATCTTGGTCTGCCAAAATATCTGGCTCTCTTTGGCTTGCTAAATGTCGAACTCTTTTCACCACACAGTCGTCTACTTTGGCTGTCTGCCATTTGGCGCTGGAAAAATAGGAAAAAGTTGTCTTGTGAGGGCATTGTTTGTTGGGAGTACCCATGGTTCATCAGAATCGTGACAACAGTTGGCACTGAACTATACAGACCTGCAAACAAAAGCTGAAATTGGCCGACACTCGCAACGAGTTGCGGGCTGGGTTGTTGATTCTCAGTGGGACTGGATGTATCAACTCTTTCACATTACAGTCGAAAATTATATTCAGTGGACAAACAGTAGGTCTTTGTGAAAAATGGCCAGCTCTCTGGAGTCAGCCATGAAATCCTAAAAAGACATTTTTGTTGTTAAGTAGATAGAATCTCAGGGGTGAAACACAAACTGCTCTGTACCTTGAGACCACACAGACAATAAACATTTTGTATTAACTATATTGTCCTGAGCTGAAGTGCCCTACATGCATTGTGTGGGCAGGATCAGTCTCATGGCTTCATTTTTCTCTGGCACAAGAGTAAAGCTCTCTATCTTGATTTTTATCTTGATTTTTGAGAGACTGCAGGAAAAGGCTTCTTCCTAAATGTCCTGGTGCAGAGCATCCATGTCCACTTGTGAGATCACACACAAAAAAGTGATACTGACGTCAATAAGCCAGTTGAAAGGCTGGTTAGATTTTAGGGAAAAAAAAAAAAAATTAAAATTACAAAAATAAAAATTACACTTAGAGTCATTCTACTAGGGTTTCACAAACCTAAAACTTCCTCCTGCTTGGATACAGTCTCTATAGACGAATTCTTCCAATACTAACCAGTTGCCAAAAGAAATGTTAGCATTATGTGTTCCTGCTAACCAAGGATACATTACATTTGCATATTATGGAGCATGTTATATCACATATATGTTGAAACTTTATGTTTAAATAAAGCTGTGGTTAACGTGTGGATAGGTTTCGGCCCAAAAAACACTTGGTTATGATTACAAAAAGATCCTGTTTGGCTTAAAAGACCTGGTTTGGGAGGTAAAGTAAAGCAGTGATATGGCTGTATAAAACAGCTGCTCTTTGTGCAAGTTTATTTGCAGGAATTGCAGGGGTGTCTTGGCAAAAAACAACCACTTTCAGTGCCTAAAAAGCAGCTGGAAAAACAGCAACAGATCGCTGCTAATCCACCGTGTTTGGTTATTAAAAAGCTGCTGGAAACACAGCAATGACTCACTAAAGAACAACTGGTTTTACCGATTGTTGATCTCGTACAGTGGTCTGCAGCTTGCCAGGCATCTTGCCATCCTCTCCACCTACAGATGATAAAGTACAGCTCATATACTATGTCACTTTAGAGAGGGGTGTTCTCAGGTGGTGGGCATGTGTACAGAACCATATATGGAGTCTGCTCAGTGCACGATCACCCTGCTGCTGATTGGATTCAGTGCAGCTGCAGCCGAGTACAATTCAACAAACGATGAAGCCATGGGCGAACCACGTTGTTTGTAACTTTTCAAATGAAGACTAAATTAAAAGGAGAAGCAATCCAGCCATCTTGTGTGCTGTGTGTCTGCTTAGTCACTTTAGCGATATTGATACAATACGTATGAAAAGTGCAAATGTAATGTATTTGTGGTTTGCAGATGCCCATGTTTTCTTCTGGTGAATGGGCTGTCCAATAAGCCTACTTTGCTTGACACACTGCCGGCTTTGCTGCTTTCTCCTTTAGAAGCATTTTGTCTACACACATTTTTAAATTGACTTTCTCTGCTCTATAAAGACCTGTTGCTCAGTCACAGGCGTTTCCAACCTTGCTGCACCTGGCTTTTCTACCAGATAGTTTCCAGGGACTATGGAGATGACATTGATGTACATATTACTCATTATTATGTACATAAACAAAAAGGACAATGCATAAAAAACACTTGAACAGTAGCAAGTCTAACTTTCAGTTTTTGCTCTCTGATTTTCTTGTTTTTTATTTTCCACCTCTCAGACCATTAATGTGACAACAACATCAACAGGCTATGGCCTCTCATTGGCTTGTGACACACTCATTTCTCAGGTGAGCAATCGGCATTATTATAATTCCTTTACTGTTATAGTGTTATCTCCAAAAAAGTCTAAATTTTGAGCCTATGTAATCAGATTCAGCTCTGTCTCATTTGCAGACGTTCGGCAGTAAGAACTTGAAACGAGTGGGAGTCATTCTGCAAAGGAGCACTTTGATCCTGGTGCTGTTCTGCCTGCCCTGCTGGGGCCTTCTCATCAACTCTTACAACTTGCTGCTCCTCTTGCACCAAGACGATGAGGTGGCGAGGTAAAGTCACACTTTCATTAATACCTTATATACTGTACTGTATGTGTCACTGTGTGCAAAATACAGATGTAGGCACACTGTTAGTTAGGTAGTTCAAGGAAAAATACAAGAGCCATATCTTTATCTTTAGTGCCAAGGTTGTTATTCTTATCAGCAGTGTGACTGACTTTATTCCACGTTAGCATGTATGGAGGTATTTTGCATACTCATGCACTATAATCAAGTCTCATTTATCCAGTTGTGTGCTTAGTTCCTCTCACACACATGCATTTTCACAAAGACTTTACTGTTTAAAACACTTAATTTGTGGGTGAAGTATTCCTTTAAGTTCAGCTTTGTATATATGTAGGTATTTGTATGTGCAGCTTTAGACACCTGGATATTCTCTTGCACCCATGTGTAGTATATTATAGTTAGAATCCAGATTATCAGTTAATTATGAGGAACTAAAGCAATAAAGCAGAAATGTAATGTGACATAATAGTTTTGATACTGCATTGCAAAAATAGGGACATGTCTAATTGGAAAGTCCATTTCTGTCTGTGTGTGTTTGCTCCACTAATTTAATATTACTCTGTTTGCCTCTCTGTCAGAATTGCCCAGCTCTACATGATGGCATTTATACCAGCTGTCCCAGTGAGTGCACTGAACTGAAACACAGTCTGAAAAAATGTTTTACTGCCTAATTCATTACATGTTGTAACATCCCACATTGCACACTGCAGTAAGCTGAGCTACAATATTAGCACAAAAACCAAGCAATTCAAATCAAGTTAAGGTGCAACCAGTTCCCCAAAGTAGGAAGCATATCAGAGAACAAGGCAAGGAAACAAATTTGTGGTGACGTCTTTGTCTGAGAGCCAGCTGATTGAGTCTTTTAGCTTAGGAAAAGATTACCTTTGTGTTCCAGTGTTGGTCAGGTAAATACTCAAAGATAGTAGTCTCTGGCCTCATCTCAAGCCGTGCAGTGTGTTTATTTGCACACCTTGAACTGATCAATGTGAGTAATGTGATTGAGTTTTGCTTGAATGTTTACAGTGACCCAAATTCAAAGATAACACGACTTTAAGTGCCTTTCTGATGCTGCTTGAAAGATGTGAGGTAGCCAACAGGAAATGTCCTAAGAACCACAAAATAATAGCAGGAAACTTCATGATCTCCCCAGTTTATAAAATAAAGTTATTAAGGAAAAACAGGAGTAGTTGCATCTTTGCAGTATTGGACATAAAAACAGTAGGTGTTTCTAAACAAATGGACACATATAAAAAAGACAATTCCAACATTTTCCATATTTACATTCAAACTAAAGTGTATACATGACACAGCAATTCAAAAGCAGGAAAAGCAATTAATCTCTGTTCAATTTTGTTGTGCTTTACCTCACTTACCTCCTTAATCTGACTCAGATAATCCAGTTAGAGTGTTTATGTCTGTTGCAGTAACTGGAATATTCCGCAATTTAAATGTTTTTATCTGCAGCATTGGGTCAACAAATACAGTAGTGTTAACAGCTAAATTAAATAAATAAATCATTTTCTCCCCCCAGGCCATGTTCCTGCACCAGCTACAAGTTGCCTACCTACAAAACCAAGTAAGTTTTTAAGAGCACACAGGTATGCTTCTCCTGCAAAGAATTTCATTCAGTGGCCTGCCTTAAAAAAATGGACTGCAATGTGTTTGCCCCCCCAAAAAATCAAGAAAATGGTAGCACTCCAGTGGTAACGGAAGACAAAGAATCACCTCATGTCTTGATCATTTTGACAAATTGTTTTTCCATCAAAGACAGTGTCATGCTGAAGAATATCAGTACATAATTGTAAATAAATGCATCAAAATGACTATTTTTAGTCATAGTCAGTTAAAAGTATTGGCACAAATTTTGTACAAGCATTGTTACCAGACGTTGCACCCTGATGATCATTTGACTTATCCTCTAGTGCCACATTAAGGTTCACATTTGTGGTTTTGTGTGAAATGTCTCAACAACTGCTGGATGGATTGCCATGAAATTTGGTTCAGACGTTCCTGCTCCCCTCAGGATGACTTGTAATAACTGTAGCATCCACTTAATTTTTCTTGTACTGCCACTATCAGGTCAAAATTTCAATTTGTCAGTACTTGTGTTTATGACCAAATACCTGCAAATTTAATGACATTCCCATCGGCCTTAGCTGTACTTTGTGCTTGGTGCTGATTAGCAAATGTTAATAGGCCAACACACTAAACTATAACAGTAAACATGGTAAACGTTATACCTGCTAAACATCAGTATGTGAACATTGACGCTGTGAGCATGTTAGCGCGCTCATGTAGCGTTTAACTCAAAGCGTGCCGCTCTGTCTACAGCCGCACCAAGCTGCTAGCATGGTTGTAACTTTCGGTCATATCGAGTTGATTTGCGTTTTCATTACCAGTTTTAATACACAAAATCATGCCGAGTCACGCCGAAAATGGACCGGCGCATGTTTGACATCAGACTGGCTTTGTCATCGTTATACACAACACAAACAAAGAAACCGTTAAGGCCCATTGTGTCAGATACCTGATCAGAAAGCAATGGACCTCAAATTCAAAAGCATTGCTGTAATATATATGTACATTAATTCAATCACTGTACATAGTAGCAATCCTTTCCCTGAACTGGAGAATCAGTATTCTTTCTTAAATACTTGACTTAAAACTTAAAATGGTAAGATAATCACTAACAAGCAGGGTGCAGGTGCTTTCTGCTGCCGTCTTGACAACACATTCTCACTCTGACCTCGTCACATATTGACGTTTGGCCATGGACCTTCCACATGAAAGGTACCCTGGATGCATTGGTTGTTGACGTTCTGGGACGCGGTGTCAACTTATGCCTTTTACGTGCATTGTCTTCTTTCAAAATACAGTTTTGTCTTCACAGGAAATTTACCGTTTACATACAGTCTCTTTCAACACCACTCTCCGGGGTCAAAGTCTGTGTTTGTTGGACCCATCCACCGCCCCTCCTGCCCAACCTATTTGGACTTTTGCCACCGTAACATTCGTTCTTGTCCTACCGTGTTCCCCCCCCAAACGCTTCTGAGCGACTGGCTGCATATCATGCCAACATTAAAGAGCGGCTTTTTTCATCAGTGTCTGATGCCGCAGGTCACTGCCCTAGGACCGGATTACGACGACTTAGGTTTGAGACTGGTTTGGTCCTCAAAAAGTGCCCTGGGGCGTTTTCACTTGTGTGCGCCGCAGTTGCACTCCTATGAGAAGTAATTTTTGTTTTGTAGGTGAGGTTTTCAGCTGCAGGTCATTTTGTGGAGAAATTCATGTTTTCACTGGGTGCAGCCTACTTTATCGTGACACGCCAATGCACGTCTTGCAAACTGAGATATTTTCATATCGATGACGTCTATTATATCGATGAATCGCCCCACGCCTAGCGCCAACTCAAACTGAGTAAAGCCAACAAATGTGTATGGAAAACGGCTATTAGTCTTGTTACTTGAGTTGTCTTTTTCCTGAATTTGTCATTTGTCTCAAACCTGCGTACATAATATTCATGAAGCTGATTGTGCAATGCATGTCTGTTTTTGTCTGTCAGGGGATCATTCTGCCGCAGATGTACACAGCAGCAGCAGCAAACCTTTTTAACCTGGGGGCCAACTATGTCTTAATCTTCAGCCTTGAGCTGGGAGTTGTGTAAGTGACAGACTTTGTGTTACTACATATGTTATCAGGCCTCAATTTTCATGATCAATAAAATGTAGTTAAGCCTCTGTAGCATTTAAAGCAGAGAAGCTCTTTCCTGATCACTTAACCGTTGTCCGAATAGGAGTGGGTTGGAGGCTGATGTGTAGCCAGGAGTTTGGAAAAAAGAGGACAGTAGGTCAAAGAGCTCATTATTCATTTTAATCTATCTAAAAGGAATAATTTGTTTTTTGTTTAAACAGAGCCAGTGGTACACTGATGTTTATTATTTTTGCACTTTATTTAGAGAGGGAGGCAGTACAGGACAAGATGAGAGCTTTGACAGGAGTTGATCCTGGTCCAGCTGGACAAACATTTGATTCAACAGGCAGTCCAGTTAACCAATCAGGTCCCTGTGGTCAGGTCAGGCCTGTCCCTCAAGGCTAATTCTCAGATCCTTTTGACATCAAGTGTATTCAGCAGATCTTTAACTGTCTCGTTGCTGACCTCCTTTGACCCCTCAGTGTGCAGTCCTTCCCCATCTTTGCCAACAGAGAGAGGGTTGGCGTTAATGTGGACCATCAGTATACTTCCCTCCGATGTAAAACAATGCTCTGTCGTGTGTTTGCAGTGGATCGGCTATTGCTAACGGCCTCTCTCAGGTAGCGATCTGCCTGCTGTTGTTTGGCTACATCAGATGGAAAGGGCTCCATAAGGAGACATGGGGAGGTGAGTCACATACACAAATGTAAATATCAAATACGAAATTAAATTAAGAATCAGCATCTCTGCTACAAATGATGCATGTAAGCAGTTTTTAAATCAGTTTTCAGAAAACTGTCGTCCTCTACAGGCCACACTAAGAATAACCTGTCTATGTGGAACTTTGTGCAGGCTGGTCCACTGACTGTCTGCAGGAGTGGGGCTCCTATATGAAGCTGGCTGTTCCCAGTGTGTTCATGGTCTGCTTTGAATGGTGGATCTGGGAGATTGGAGGTTTCCTTGCTGGTCAGTGTTGCTTCTGTTCCTAATTTCTTTAAAGATCCTCTGAAAAGGTGTAAGTGTCAAAAGATGTAGGGACAAAATTCTGTTTGTCAAATGTTTCCAGGAACAAATACTTATATACCATCAGAGCAAGACTCTCCGATAACATGAAAAAAATCTTAAACGGCGACTTTAAAATTGATGTTTAAGAATATTTAGAAATGTATTTCACTGATAACTGAAATATTAAAAAAAAAATCCTTTTTCCTAACAAATAAATCTCCAATTTTGGAATAACCAAACCACCTAAAACAAGGTACACAAGGCACAAAAAGTGTTTTCTTATTAGCTCGAAGTGATAAGACTGCAACACAGGGTCTCCCGTATTTGCAATAACTGTGCCATCATATCACCTTATTTGTCCAAATAAAAGGGACACTTGTCCACCAGTATTTAATAGTTAATTGAAAATGAGAATAATCTACAGTTAAAGTACCATATGTGTGCCATGTAAACAATCTGCCCTCATCACATCTTTTCCCTCATTTATTTGACCTTTGTCAGATTAATGTGTGTGCAGTTTACTAACTCTAGTTTCTTGGTGTAACTTTTTGGCATGATGGGAAAGTCTTTTCAAATGTCTAAATGTGACCTTTATCATATCAGGTGTACTTGGAGAGACGGATCTTGCTGCCCAGCATGTGTTGTTGGAAGTAGGAGCCATTACATATATGGTATGCATCATCTAATTGTTCACTGGAATATTTGTGTGCATATTATTGAACAGTAATTCAGCATTTTGGAGAATGTGCTCATTCACTTGAGATAAGATTGATACCACTTTCTAAATCCAGGAGGCGATTAGCTTAGCTTAGCATTGAGGCTAAAAGCAATTGTTTCTTGGCGAACTGTGACCGGGTGCAGTTATAGACACTGCACATAAATGCTGAGCGGATAGATAAATGGTTGTTCTTCAAGAAAAAAATTACAGCACGCAACACTTCTAATGTAACTGATGTGATCTGAACCCAGCAGCAGCAACGAAGACAGGCAGGGCAGTTCATAATTAACTTAAATATACTGCTTGTCAATCACAGACAAAACAGGCATGTAAACAACAGTGAAAGTCAGTTTCTTGGTTCAGGCCCACTGGAACACAGGTTCAGTCCAATACTTTAAGCACAGCATGCCAGACCAGAGAGCTGGGGAGTTACTGGCATCCTCTGCGTGCACACAAACAGCAAACAGTTCAAAGGTGTGCAGTAGTACTACGAGGTAGCAGACAGAAGGCGACGTCAGATGAGCAGAGGGTCCGATACCAGGTGAACACACAAGGGAAACCAATACACCTGTGAGTAGCCAGCTGTAGGTAGGTCGGAACTGGTGTGTAGTCGAGGAACCAGTGGTGATGGTGAGTAGATTCTGTGGCAGGATGTGCAGCCACAGCACAGGAAGTCACCAGCAGCAGAACAGGTAAACTCACAAGGGAGAGCTGACTGCGGTCTCTCCACACAGCCACTTGAAACAAGCGAACAGAAACCAGGAACGTGGAAACAGAGCCCTTGGTTGAGGACATAAGCAGGAGAGTCAGAGGCAGGCAAGGTCGGCAACAAAAAAAAAAGCAGTCCAGGAACACACGCTGGAAAGTCTTGCACAGATATGGCAAAGAACAATCTGGCAACGAGAGTCTGTGACGCTTGAGTATTTATAGTGGCAGGAAGTAATGAGGCACAGGTGAACAGAGTTGGCTTGATGAGATGGGTGTGGTGGAGTGGCAGGAGTGGGAGATGTGTGGACAGGTGATAGGCTGGCAGGTAGGTGTGGTGGAGAGGCGGGGTGAGTGGAAATTTACTGGCTTAACTGAGAGAACGGCATGTATGGGAGGTCGGAAGTGCAAACTGATGTTTTTGCATTTCTGTTTGTGATTTAACAAAAAGATAACTAATTAATGAGATGCATGCTAACTGTTTCCTCCTGTTTCTAAGCTAACTGCCTCCTGGCTCTAGCGCCATATTTCACACTCAGACGTGACAGTGATATTGATCTTTTCATCTAACTTAGAAAGAAAGTGAATGAGTGTTGTTCCAGAAGCTGTGCAATTGGTGTAACTGACAGCAAAAAGTAACATGGGGTCTGTGCAGTTCCCTCTAGGTATCCATGCAGCTGCCTGTGTGCGTGTTGGGAATGCTCTGGGAGCCGGGAACACCTCCAGGGCCCTTGTCACCTGCAAAGTGGTCCTGGTTCTGTCAGGTATGAAGACACCTACACAAACATACATTATTCATATGATCTGAACAGTGCCCTCTGAGAATTCTTGATTGAGACTGGTTGGCAGGAGTATTCATTTCTAGTAAGAGAGTGTAACTGGACGCCTCTGAAGTAGGTGTAATCAATGTATCTGTTGAGAAACAAGCAACTTTAATTTCGAATGTGTTTGATTTCACATGAATCTGGATAAATAATGCGTCACAATCGTGGAACACAACAGGTACTATACCTTATGTAATCTCTTCACTATAGGAATGCTTGCTGTGCTCCAGGGTATCATCATCGCTGGCTCTAAGTCCGTCATTGGCTACATATTTACTACTGATGAGTGAGTTTCAGACCAGCACACGTTCATTCCTGCACCGTGTAAAGGCAACTCTGTTTTTGATGACCTTCTTCTTCTTCTACTGTCTGCAGAAACATTGTGCAGATCACCTCAGAGAACCTCACAATGTACACATTTCTACAATTCTTTGACGCACTCCTGGTACGGTATTATCTTGTCTTGTTTTGCATTGAGCCCTTGTATTGAAGAGTACACAGAGCGGCCTGCTTGTTTTGTTGAAACAATATCTCCTTTTCTTTCTTTGTTTCAATATGTGTGTGTTTTCAGTGTGTCTCCTCAGGGATTCTTGTGGGAAGTGGGATGCAGAAAATTGCCGCCTTGTCCAACCTGGTGTGTTACTACTTCATCGGTCTGCCAGTGGGAATAGCGCTGATGTTTTTGGCCAAGCTCAGAGTATTAGGTAATGTTTTCATCCCATTCTATTTCTGTATGTTTCTGGAAACAGGCGATGAATGAAAATGAAATAAATACACTGTGCCAGTTATTCATGCAACAGAACAACCTTTTTATGACTGAGAATCCCAATTTTAGGTCTGACATTGCTCACAAACCCAAAAGTTTTAAATAGAAGGGATTTTAATGAATCATTATGAAAAAAACCTTTTAGTCCACAAGTGTAGGCAGTTGCCTCAATTACCCTTATATGACATCATAGGCCAAGGCTTTGATTTGAATTGTAAATATTTCTTGTATTGTCTAAGAAGCGGCACATCTTAAAGGGATAGTTAAGATTTTTCAAAGTGTATTACCTACAGAAGATGACAGTAAGCGTGCCCCCATCAGTCAGGCTGGAGTACCGCCACGGAGGTTAAGCAATGTACCGCTGTGGACAGGGGCAGCAGCAAAATGTATTTTAGCCACCTAAAAAATCTGTATCAGTTTAAGTGTACACTAGATTTGCTGTCAAGCAGCCCTGTGTGACAGGGATCTGAACTGAAAGTGAAACTTATCTTTGCTCTCTTCAAAGCCAAACTCTTTTGACAAAAACAGTAACACCCTTTGTCCACTAAAATTAGCACGTGTATGTGGGATTTTTAAACACGGGACAACCTCCTAAAAATAGGCGATAAACTCTTTCCCATTGCCAGTAGACCAGAGCAACATACACGTCTCTGCAGTAGGCCAGTACGCCTTTCTGTATGTGTGTGTTTTCTTTTTTTCTGGTGTGTCACATTCTACGTCATGGATGGGCCAGAAAACAGGTTAGGTTTACAGTCTCTCTCTCAAACTCGACTAATTTGGAAGGATGTTCGAGCGTGCCTGGGTGGAGATGGATGCTGTTTTGTTGCGGCCTGTCACTGCATCGCACTGCCAAATGGGCTAAAATAAATACGTCCACCTGGGTGTGACATTTTAATCACTACTGATCGGAGGCAATTGCAGCTGGAGCTGATAAATACCCATGACTACTCTTATTTGACCCAAGAGTGACAGCGGATTGTAACCTTTCCCATTAAATACAAAGAGCCAGATGTTAGTGGGTGTTAGTTGTTTTTTTTGTCCAGTGGAAAGGGGGCATAATTTTTGCTCGCTTAACTCGGGGGCTGCTGGTCTACTGCTGCCTCGATCAGTTGGTTAGTTAGTGTAATTGTGTGACTTTAGTGTTTTAGGGTGCTTTCACACCTAGAGTTTGCTTGCTTTGGCCCAAATTAGGAACTACTTTTGTTACAAAGTTGCATAATTGCCTAGAGTTGGTTTGTGTTCTCACGGCAGCATTTACAAGCAGGCCAGATAAAATGCTTTGTGTGAGAAAGCTGCTCTTGACTGGTCAGAATTTCCATGTGGGAAAAATCCAGGAAGTAAAGCAAATGCTGAAGAAGAGTACACTTGCAAGATAAATAAGATGCTTTCTAATGTCACAATGGAGGGACAGCTACGCAGGTTGATTTTGGTCATCATGAACTATATTGCTGTCATTGTTCATTTTAGTCAAACCATACAGTTTGAAAACGAGGCGCGGCTCCAGCTAGAAGTCAACGTTTTGTGTTCTGTAACATGCTCATGTTTGTTTAACCCAAACAATGTGTGATGTGACTACAGTTGGTTCAGATTGAGGTGGGAACATGTCCTCACCATAAAAAAACTGCACCAGAGTTCGTTTGCAACCAAACCGAGACCACCTCTTCAAGAAAGTCTTGTTCTGGTTGTTTTGGTGCGCACCGGAGCACGATTGCTGTGTTCACATCTGCCCAAACCAACCACATTTAGGGGGCAAATGAACCTGAGTTTGACTGAACCAAACCAAACAGGGCAGGTGTGAAAGTATCCTTAAACGGTTAGTTTGGATTCACCAAAGTCACACAACAATTCAAACTAACCGATACTGTATGATTTTTTTTAGGTGGCTAAAATATTCATTTTGTTGCCGCCCCCTTCCACAGCAGTACATTGTTTAGCTCCTGTAGTGGTACCCTAGCCTGGCGTTGCCAGACCCAATTCGCAAAACGCGAATGGGTCTGGACACAGAGTGTACATTTCCTCTATTCCCAAGGGGCGGTATCAACGGCTGTCACTCAAAGTGCCCCTTCACGCAATTGGAAAGATGGAAAAACAATCAGAGTAAACGAAACGTGTGACGTAGGCTAGCACAACGCCACTGTAAACAGACCAGCAAGCAAGTGCAGCGGAGATGAGCTGTGATGATGTCTGGGAAAGAGTGTTGCCGTCTTTTGGCAATTTCCTCCTCACTGTGGACTCCGAGTTGCATGGCTGTGATTCCCAGCTTGGTCGCTTCCCTGACCTGCTCCTCCATGAGAGCAACTAGCAGAGAAACAACAATAGCCACTGGGTTTTCACTGAGCCCCATCTTTTTCCCGATCAACTGAGCCAGTTGGTCAATTAAACTTTTACCAAACCCCGTAGGAAGGACGGCAAACACATCCTTTTTTTCAATAAAAGCTTTCAGTGCAACCGTTTGTTCTGCTTTTAAAGAAAATGTACATCCTAGGGGTGTCGGTGGCTTAGTGGTAGAGCAGGCGCCCCATGTACAAGGCTGTCACTGCAGCGGCCTGGGTTCCAGGTTCCAGCTTGTGGCCTTTTGCTGCATGTCATTCCCTCTCTCTCTCCCCCCTTCACGCTCACCTGTCCTATCAATTAAAGGCACAAAAATGCCCCAAAAAATATCTTTAAAAAAAAAAAACAAAGTACATTCTACATTCCAGTTCATTCAACACATTTACTGTACCATCGCAGTTTCAAAATCAGTAGCCATGTTGGTTGTTTACGAAATGCATTCACTCCACTCCTTGTCCCTCCTATTCTGATGATGTGCCCGCCCCAAAGTAATAAACAATTGTGAATTCGCCTTAATGATTGCATGGCCAGACTGATCTGTGGAGCAAAATCGAATATGAGCTTGCAAGATCAGGATGGTTTCCCCAGGCTAGTGGTACGCCTGCCTGCCTCTCCAAACTGGGGGCACGCTGACTGTCATCTACTGTAAAGTAGGTAATACACTGACAATCGATAGGTACCTCATCATGCAACCCCACTACAAAAAAAAATATACAAATTCTGATCTAAATCTGAGGTATCCCTTTAAGTATGCCAGCAGAAGATGGACTTGAAGTAGTGTGTCTATATTTAAATCCAGGTTCATTAGTTAAACCCATGAACCCACTGGGTCCTGCTGCAGCAGACATTCCTTAATTTCTCTCCCTACAGCCTGCCATTTACCCCCTGCCAGAGTGGAGCGCTTTGCTGTCCACTCAAAGTGTGCATGCATTGATAAATGAAACACACACAGACACACACACACACACACACACACACACACACACACACACACACACACGCAAACACACACACATTCCCCCAGTGTGCATCAAAACTTTGACCTTGTGAGGTGTGTATCGTCTTGCTTGTATCTACCTTTACTTTGGTGACCCATGAAGAACTTTGTGACATGAAACTTGATAGTGTAACTCTTTGGAAATAAGTTTGACCTGACTCTTTTCCAGGGTGGATTTCTGAAATTCATTTTCTTCAGAGTAGCTCAGAGCGTAATAATGATATATAGGGCTGCTTCTGATTTCATATGCAGATATGCAACATGCTTGGAGTTCAGTGTACCTGAGTAGATAATGCCTCTAGCAAGTCTTCTGCTCTTTACCGCCATGCACGCATGTCATATCTCCAGGGATGTCACTGTTCATGCCACGAAATGTGGTACACACACTCATGTTCCCCTCAGGATGAATTATAATAACTTGATCCCATGACTTTCCATCTAGCACCATCATCAGGTCATATTTTTAATCTGCCCAAGAGCCTCCAGCATGGCTGTGTCTTAAATAAGTCTCTCTGTCATAAATATTAAGTATATCATTTATTTTTTCTGTTAACAAATTTTCTTATGAGTGTGTCTCAAGCGAATACATTGTAGATCCGTCTTTAATGTGTGTGTTTTTGTCTCCCTCTGGGTAGGCTTCTGGGTGGGCCTCTTTATATGTATTGTCTTGGAGACTGGTTTCTACATCTTTATAATCTTCAGACTAAACTGGAAGAAAGTCACACACAAGGTAGGATGCTCTTATCTCTCTTTAAACCATGAACCATGATTTTTTAAACCTTTCCAAAAAGGACTGAGGGTAGGAACGCAATTGGGATTATCAAATGAAACTTCATGCTGGGAATTTTTTTGTTGTTGTATGAATCAAGAAGCAGTCTCGTCAGAAAATGCTGGCATTCCTGCAGCATGTCCCTCAAACCAATTTAATTTTGGCAGCATTTTAAATCATTATTTCTCCTGTGTAGCTCTGTGTATCTCTCTAAACTCATTCACAAAAAAATTAGCTATTAGAATATTGCGTACATACTCTAACATGCCTCAAATTAATACATTTGATAGAATTCTTTTGCAAAGAAAAGTGGAGGTTATGTGTATTAAATTTGCTTTTGAATTGTGGGTAAACTTGTCAGTGAAAATTCACTGTGATTTATTTTCAGGCTCAAGTGCGGGCTGGAAGAAAATTGATGTCGATACCAATGTGTCCTGCGCAGACAGTGCTGAATGAAGCAATGGTGTCTGACATCTCTGATGGCCTGAATACAGTAAGTGCATGTGTACAATATGTCTTGTGCAGTTAAGCACATTGTTTTCATGTCTACTCAAGCTAACTTAATACTCAAGCTACTCACATGTTGATTAACAGCAGAATCTTTGCACCCTGAAGGCTCAGTTGGACAGTGAAGAAGCCCCTAACGCCGAAGGCTACAGTCCAGTCATCACTCAGGATCAGGACCTGACAGCAGGCCTCGAGGCTGTGGCCAACAACACAAATACAGGAGGAGCTGAGGGGGATGCTGAGCAGAGCAGAAAGACATCAAACGCCAAAATTCAAGTGCCGCTTTCAGTCACTCAGCTGATCTTGCGGCGGGGACTCACCTTCACGGTTTTAGTGGTCATTTTGGCCATAGGTGTCGCTTTCCATGTTGCATATCCTGCACCTGAGCCATCCGCCCACAGCAGGTCCAACTTTACCCTGAACATGGCTAATGACTCCACTCCTACACCACTGGCTCCGCTGTACCTGACCCAAAACCTCTGAGCTGTCTTTGACCTCTGAATGTACGCATCTAGTGGCTGAACACAGTTCTCACAAACTGATATTTACATCTCGGAGAGAGAGAATATCAAATTCATAGTTTATTCATCGACCTGGTTTGTTATTTTGTAAAACTACAGCCTGACATGGGCTACTGGATTTGCCTTGTGTAGAGAACAATACATCTCAGTGCCGCACTGCTGAGCAAATCCACAGAGAGCTGGGAGCAATATCAAATGAGACTGGCAGGATGAACAAAGGTCTTGTTACAAAGATCGTGTTTTAACCTGCTCAGCCTGAGATGCTCAGCTGGGACTACAAGACACATTATAAACCCCTCACTAAGAGACCGCGTGGTTCCTCCACACGTAGCTTTTGATTTTTACACTTATTCTTGTCTTGATTTACATGTTGCACTGTGACATATATCTTCTTTTACTGACCTCAAATCATTATCTTGTTTTTAAGCTGTAAGTGTAAGATTGAGTATAGATATGTGATGTGAAATTTACATGTTTTCATGTAAATATGAGCAGACTACACCAACACAGTCTCGAAGAAATACATGAGCACAACCTCAACAATTTCTTATGTGGTGGTGGGCACAAAATGGGTTAAAATTACGTGTTGGCAACAAGAAAACAATGACAATGCAAAGTTTATTATGAGCGGCTGCAGTTTTGTCGTGTGACAGTCGCAGTTTGGTTAGGTTTAGGGAAAGATTGTGGGTTCGGTTAAAATAACTGACCTTTGGTTTCACATGGGACACAAACAGCAGTGTCGTGGTTAAAAGTCTATGTTTGTTTGACCCATCCATAAGAGTCCTGCAGGGGTCCCTTTTTGAAAACCGGCTTTAAAAAAAAAAAAAAATTACTGCGGCTTGATAACAGTGATTAAGATGTCAAAAAATTACACACATACTGCACAATCTTTTTCATTGGTTTGTTCTGACATGAACATAAACAGAAATAAAAAATATATTTTTGTTCTTGTGTTGCCAGTACATAATTTTAAGACATTTCATGCCCACCACCAAGTAATCCATTAAGACTTTGTGCATGAGAACTTTGTGCATGTACATCTCACCTATTTCTACGAGACTGGGCTGGCTATACATTCCTGCAATGTCTTCCTGGATCACTGTCACTCAGCCCTGGGATTCTCCAGGACAGAGGTGACTGATGAATAATAAGTTAGTTATCTTTTTACTGTAAATCTGTGGCCAATAATATAGTGTACTGCCATGTGATAGGACCCTAATCAATAAAAATGCTTTTTAAAATGTATAACAATGAAATTAACTACAGGGAAGCCAAAATATATAATTTCCCCATTGAATGTTTTAGAGTCTGTGATCTGAGCTGCAGAAACAGACTGAACTCTTCTTCAGGTTCTTTTAAATATGCAGTTGAAGGGATGAAATTCAAACTATGTTGCCAGGATCAGAAATTAAAGCACCAATTAATGCAGGCTGTTCTCATGCACTGTTTGTATCTATACCTACGAAAAGTAATGCACCAGAATTTGTATATAAACAGCATAATCATGAGCCAATAATTCGTATTTAACACAAGCAATTGGAAAGGCTGTGACCACGTGACCAGCGCTTTGGCGGATGGGAATAAAGAACTTAGTAGTATAAAGACCAAAAGTCCGCATGGCAAGGAAGGTTGGCATGGTGAGTGGGTCAAACAAACACAGGACACTTGTGCCTGTGTCCCGTGTGACACCAAGTGAACTTTGAGTTGTTTTAAGGTACTTCGTCACCATGTTTCTTTCACTAAAGCTAACCTTCATACATTTACATTAAGTACATACTGTGAAGACGCCATTGGTGGGGTGCTAATTCTTGGATATCATACGAACCGTTGTACATGGACACGTTGATTTTTGAGGTCCTGCTATTGACATTGTAGTATCCAATGTCCAGAGAATGCTACTCTTGTTCCTGCTAGCATGTAGCTGCCTCAGTAAACAACTTTCACTTGGTCTTATTGAAAAAAAATTCTACTTTTATGAGACAAACATTGTGTGAATAAAACTGCACAAACAGAAGATGTGCCAAACTTATATTTCAATTTCCTCATTCTCCTTCAAATGAACGTAACTGAGAATGACAGATATCTGTAAATGTAAGCGCCATTGTGCAGTCCACAGATTTCATACTACATTGCGATACAGCAATTATACTTACATATACTTTGATTTTTTTAGACGTTAAAGGCGCTGTATGTAAGAATGTGGCCAAAACGGTTACTGCACTCAAATACAAAATACTGCCGCGAATCGTTTCCGCCCCCCCTCCCCTACAGATTTGAGGTTGCTGGACAGCGGCACGCTGGAGACTGATTTGTTTGCCCACAGGTGGCTGCCGTGGCAGGGCTGCATCGCCGCGTCCTTGATCTTCGGTTTTCCAGCGGACCGTTCGAGCAAGTCCGGCTTCTATGCTGCTAAAGCTGCTGCCGGGATACAGCGGAGGAGCCGGCTGCTAATGCTATGTACCGGGACATTGCTAATGCTACTTGCCGTGCTGCTGTAGCTCAGTCGTAACTGTAACTGATGCTGAGACTCTACTGACTGCATGACTGGTAGACGGCAGTGGGTGGTGCAAGAGGCCAAAACACAAATTCAAAACATAAACATGATTTGTGGTACGTAAATTTTTTTTTAAATGCGAATATTCTGGCTGTACTATTGTTGTCAGTGAGATCAGTATGTTATATGAACATTAATCCTTAGTCTCTGTGACATATTAGGAGGATTTTACGACTATTTGCTTTATATTTCTTACATATAGCTCCTTTAAGTGTAGGCATTTTGTGAAATGACATTCAGATATGTAAAAGAAGATGTTTTATGAGCTGGGAAAGAGAGGCTGCTCATGTTAGCTATTGTCACTTTAGTTAAGGTTTAGGAACTCTAAATACTCAGGTAAGGTTTAGCCATTTATTGTGATTGTACCCAGCCTCATTTAATAACTGATTCATGATAAAACAATGATTTAGCTGCTGTTGTTTATGGAAACAGATTGCCCTTCAATATGACACTTAATGTGATCAAAGTGCTGCAGATAGATTGTTTTTTTTCCTTTGGGAGAAGAGGCAATCATTGATTTCTGTCACATAATATAAACTATTTAAGTGGTCATTATGTAATAATAGAAACCGGACACAAAGTTGCTACAAAAGGAGAAATACCTAAAATAGGCAAATCCAGTAGCCAGTAGCTCTGGACTGTTTAACTGAAATAATAAGCAAAACAACTGCAGCCATAATTCAGCTGACTTCCAGGTACGTTATTGTGCTGCATGGTGACACAACCACGAAGTTAATATGAGATCCGTTAAACCACTGCATCACAAGTTACTGACAGCAGATCTTTACACAGTCACTTGTTAATGATGCCACAGCATGTTACTGATTGCAGTCTCTGGAGGTGAGCGGGCCAAGATTACAGGCTCTGTGAGGAGCCTGTGACAATGTCTGCACTGATGAGCAAGACTGAAGCTCAGACGACGACGTAACCATGTATGAATCAAGCCTGATTTACATGTTGAATAACGATAAATTAATATGCACTTTTTTTTTCTTTTTTTTATGGGACTGTTGCAAACATCAGTCTGTTGCAAGCTGATGCTGATGTCAGTTTGGAGAGTGCAGATGCTTGTGGGTGTGCTGCCTTAATATAGGCCAGAGTGCAGACTTACCTGTAAGGTGAAAGCTCTTTTGAAGTTATCACCTAATATAAAGTGGTTAGCCTGTGCCTACATACTACCGAGCCCCCCCTCCTTGTAGTATTTTTGCATTACCTCACAATATTGCAACACGTTCTCACTCCCAATTTGTCAAATACGGCAGCTTAGTCAGCAGTCCTGGGCTTCAAACTATGATGTTCTAGGTACCACTATAGCATCAAATCAATGTTTCGCACAGGAAACGAACAGCAGTGTCCTGGATGAAATTCCTGTGTTTGTTTGACCAATCCGATGGATAAGGCATCCCAGCCTTGTGCACTGGAATCAGGTGCTGACAGCCTCTGACCAAACTGCCGTTTTTGACGCCCTGGAAATGAGAATGAGCTAAGATCTCTCGCAATGTGTTTTACGTTACCTCACAATACTTTTGCACTCCCTTCCAATTGTTTCTCTGCAGTGGATAAAGTTAAAATGCCAGCAGTTGACCAAAGACTCTCTGGTTATAATATGAAAACTTTAGAAAATGATTTTATATATATAGGCCTACAGGTAGTTACAGGTAGTTTAGTTACTGATTGTCTCTCATGCCAGCAGTATCAGTTTGTGCGCTGCATATAAACTTAATTCTGTGATTTTTGTCCCCAAAGAATGCATGTTTCTGTGTTTCACAATGTGCACCTGAGGGAGCCATCTTATTATTGCTGCATCTGTAATTTATAATAGCCCACCAAAAGCATAAATGAATGCATTTTGGTATTAACCACTGTTAATATGTAGTGCTGTAGTACCAGACAATGTTCCGGAAACAGCTTTGGTAATAGGCTACTACATCAGCATATGTAATGCCCAGTTCAAAGTAAAATGCAATGTGCTGATCCTAACTTGGGTGTTGCCCTGGTGAACAGCTAAGCGGAAATAAACATTTGGATAAGAAAAGTGCTGCAAGACACACAACACAAAAAGTATTTTGAGGGGACGCAAAAAAAAAAAAAAATTATTGCTGTTACTTTTTTGGGACTCTGGAAAAATACAACTACAACTGGACTAAACAATTTCAGTTGATATATACCTCTGTAAGTAAGAGTTGGAATTCAAGGAATATGTGAATTTACTTTGAGTATTTACCAAAAATGTATGTTTTAGGCCACAGGAAATACAGTGTGACAGAGATTAAATGTATTTTGGCCAGATTATTTTGATCCAAGTGTTACTTGCAAAAAGTTACAGAGCTGGTACACCATGCTTACTCTAATTTGCTGCCGTCCGTCATCTGCTAACCAACGCTGACATGGTTTCATATCAAACAGCCCTACACAGTATTGTCATTTTGGGAAATATGCGTTCTGTAGAGCTAGATGAGAAGATCAAATTCCATTCTCTAGTCAGTAAATACGAGGCTACAGTGAGCAACTGGCTGCTTTACCTGTATGGACGAATCAAATTACACATAATGATGAGCTCTTGAGGGGCTGGTCGGTGAATTTTTTTTACTTATGGACAGAGCCAGGCTGTTTCCCTGTTTCCACTCTTTGTGCTAAGCTAAGGTAACTGGCTTCAGACTGTAGCCTTGTATTTCACAGACAGTAATATCAATCTTCTCATACAATTAGAACAAGCACATTTCACAAAATGTCTAACCATTGCTTTTGATGGGTCTGTAGAGAAACACCATACGTACTTTATGTATTTCTGAAGATCCCACGTGGTTAGTTATTTGCTGTTACCAGGGTGAATTCTTTATTTGTGAGCAGGCTATAACTGTGAAGCCTGAGCTAGCTAGTTATCTGCTCCTGCACAGAGTGCACAGGTGGTTGATTTGCTCAGTTTGACATGTCTTCATCCAGCCAGCACGTTGCCGTGTGAGAGTACAGACCTTTCATTATTATCAAATTTGGCAACACAGATCAAAGGAAAGAAAAATAAACCAAAGAAAAAGAGAGCAGCTTTTCTGTCTTTGATGATGAAAGCACACATCCACAGATGCGCTGTAGCCTAAATATAGCATTTAATCATGCTCTTTCTAATTGTGGCATCAATTCAGACTATATATTTCATAATGAGAACATATATTTCGTCAGTGCCTTGATTGGAGCCAATCTTACACAGCATGTTTCTATATAAAGGACACACACGTATACATTTTTTTTCCGCTCACCTCTTCATCAGATGCCTCATTTAAGTCGTGTTTCTTAGATTTTCTAAAAAATGACTGACATAAGAACTGCAAAATTGAGTAGGTTTGAACTATTAATAAGACTAGAGCAAGGAAGAGCTAAGTGACATAAACACTATTGCTGTAACTGCTCTTGGAAAATATATGAAACTATAAAGACAAACCCTTCAATATGACGTAATGAGGAAATAAACTCATAACTTTTCAAACTTTTTAAATGGAGCAATAACTTATTCAGTTCAATTAAAGAACATTTTACTTGTGTAACATGTATCATTGCAATGCAGCTACAGTATTTTCCCATCATTATTGCAAAATAAATGGTCCGGAATTTTGTAAAAGTGCGAGTATGAAAAGGAAATTTATCATTACAAATTGCTTCAGATGGTGAGATGAAAGCTGCCTAGACTCTCTTATTTTCTAGCTTTACTGCTTAACATGAAGATGCATCTGTACTCTCGAAGACAGACTCACAGAGCTTTGTTTCATGCTGCACAAACAAGGTCTAATAATGGTCACTTGTCTAATTTGAGCAGTCTGATGAGCAGCTCACTGATGAAGACTCCAGCAGCGAGGATGATGAACATGAGCAGCACAGCGAGGCTACGTCGCACCACCAGCTGCCTGACTGACAGAGCCATGTCATCTGAGGTCTGCTGACCTGCATCGAGCGCCTCCAGCTTCCCCTCTGCAGGAGTGCAAGAACTGGATCGACTGGTCTTTATGGGGGCCTGTTTCTCGCCGGTGTCCAGTGCTGTGAGGGAAAGAGTTTAATGATATGGTTAGTTGTGCAACAGTTCCCAGAAAGAAGATGATAGATGATTCATAGGTAGCTGTATGTAAAATGCAGGAACAGTTTGTGGTTACCCTTGTTTTCTATCACAAAGATCTTGTTTGTCTCTGTGACGTGGACTCCAGCTCTTGCCAGCGCCTACACAGAAATATTTAAAACAACTAAATCACATTTTTTTCACATTTACAATATTACCAGAGGTGGGACCAAGTCATTGTTTTGTGAGTCACAAGTAAGTTTCAAGTCTTTACACTCAAGTCCCAAGTCCTTAACTTAAGTTTTGAGTCCTAAACAAGTGAAAATGTGCTCTTCACCCAATGTAATTACATTTTAACAACAAAGTAATGTTACATCAAATTTACAAAAATCATTAATGCTTTTTATATTTTGTATATTGTATATGTTTTCATGGCTCTCTCCTGCACCTTGCTCGGATGCTGTTGCATTGGTGTAAACAAAGCGGATCTGGGGAATTAAAGCCCTGTTTCCACAGAGCAGTACAGTACGGTTGAGTTCAGATTTTTTTTTAATTTCCACTGTGAAAAGTTGTGGATGGTAGCAATTGAACCGTTCCGTACCGTCCCCATTTTTGGTCCACCCTCTGTTGGGGTAGCTAGCACACAGATCTGGTACTAAAAGGTGGAGCTGTGAACACTGCAGTCTGTTGATTGGTCAATAGAAGACGGTCACTCTGCTCAGGGCTGAGTTGTGGCTGGTTTTGAGGCTCATGTAACCACTGTTCATACCATGGAGAGTTTTATTAGTAGACTGTGACTATAAAATGAAAGAACGCTTTGCTGCCTCTTGCAGCAGCTGGAGTTGGAGAAAAAAAATAACTTAATTCACTGGGCCGACTGCCGGCAACTTTTAAGGTGGAACGTTAACTTCTAATGTTACGCAATGTATGAGTTGATGACGTGAATCCATCAGCACACCTTAAATTTCACTGTGACAACTTTGACCATCACTTTAGTTTTCATATGACATACACTTTTAGTAATGAGTGGATCTTCAATATATATTAATTTTGGCTGTATTATGTGAAATGCATATATCCTAATCTTCACTTGTTCCTGTGGGTTACAGCAACACTAAACCCCTGAGCTTGTCTGAGAAGGACTAAATGCATAAACTCGCTATTTTTAAATATCCCATGGAGAGAGAGACTCACTGCAGCCTGTTCTATTTTGTTCTGAAAATGTCAGCGTGCAGCCTCGTTCTGTGGATGATAAACAAGGCACAGACTTCCCTCTGTGTCATCGGTAATGAGGAAGTACAGTGAGTGACAACAACCACATTTAAGAGACTTGTTTGAGGTGGAAACACTAGGGTCTAGGTACCATATCTGAAGGGTTACTTTTGGTTCCAAAGGTACCATACTGAAAGTGTTTGGTGGAAACAGGGCTACAGTGACAACTGGCTGGGAGTGAATAGCGTAATCTTAGTTGATTCAGGAAATGAAGAGAAATTAATCAATTAGTGGCACACTTTTTAAATTACATACATCTTAATCTATGGGTTCGGGGGAAGGTATCAAGTATTCTCAAGTCAAAAGGCTCAAGTCCAAGCAAAGTCATGAGTCATTGGCCTTAAAGTCCAAGTTGAGTTGCAAGCCTTTTTTGATTTTGTAAAGCTGAGTCCAAAGTCATTGAATTTGTAACTTGAGTCCACACCTCTGAATATTAGCATCACATGATATGACCAGTGGAGTCACCTCTTTAGTGGCTTTCCTCCAGTTTAGTTTACACAGGAAAACTAAAAAAAATACGGACAGTACCACAGCACAAATTAAAAACCCCGTCCACAGCCCTGCAAGAGAAAAAGAGGGACGGTTTATTAGTTTGAGTAGAAATATGATGACTCCCACTTACTGCATAAATATTTAATCCATCCTCACCTACAATGCCCATTTTGACAGGAAACATCAAAGACACTCCAATGGGGAACCCAGTGAAGTAGTAACCCACCAAGTTACACAAAGCACCAATCTTTTGCTTCCCTGCCCCCCTGACAATACCTCCAGTCACACCCTGTGGTGATAAAAAAGAGAAATGTTAAATCTGTGCCAGCAGAGTTTGATTTTTTTTGCTCAGCCAAGAGATAAAGTGATGTGTGTGATGGAGTTTCTCACCGCAAAGGCCTCTGCGACATGGATGAAACTGTACATCTTCATGACATCAGCCACCCTTTGAATAATGTCTCTAAAAGCAAAATGCACACACGGATATGAAAATGAAATTCTAACAAAGACAGGTAAGTGCAAAGGTGATTGAAATATGTTTGTTGCTTAGATTGAATAACTACAATGACCATGTCTCTGGTAGTGACAGTGCAAAAAGCCACAAGTCCAGACCTACTTTGCTGTCAAGGGTCATTGTCCTCTTAAGTTAATACATAATGAATTTTGAATTATTTTATGAGCTCTCTGTGTGAGGGGTTGCCTGTTAGTTACTGTTTCTGTGGTGAGAAAACACAAAAGGTTTTAAAATCTGTACTTACTTCTCTGTGGTGAAAATGTAACCAACCACATCCTTAGACACACCAAGACAAGCTCCGATAAGACACGCGACAATAGCTGGAATGGGCATAAGAAACACAGCACGTTATCAGACAAGGGTGGGAAATATATCAAATATAATGTGGATTAATATATATTTTAAATTAATGTATGACAGAGAAAACTTAACAGAAAGTTGTTTTAAATGGACAAATATGGCACACGGCCTTGAAAAATACTGCTGCTCTGCAACATAACTCCCCCCTGCAGCTATTGCCTACTGTACACTGCAATGGAGCTTTGTCAAGCTACATATTTAATTCATACATGCACAGATGAGGGAGACCTTGCTGGACATCTTTGCTTGCTCTGTGTTTCCAGCACCAAGAGCATTTCCAACCCGAACACTGGCAGCCACAGAGAAACCCATCGGAAACTGTGGTGGAGAAAAAATGGTGGGAAAATAGAAACAATCCATTCGTAGCCAAATACACCAACACATTAAGATTATTGGGTATCGTCCTTTTGGTATCTGCACAAATAGTACATTAGCACAAATTCTGTTCTATTACTTAATTAATTTATACCAAATCAAAAAAAGTTATGTACAGTAAGAAAGAAATCCTAAATATAACACAAAAGCAATGTAAGGCAGTTACCATATAAGCAATAGCAGCCAGTTCATAAACTATAGACTGAGCTCCCAACTCAACCTCGCTGATGACGCCTGCCAGGAACCCTGCAATCTCATACAGCCACCACTCCAGACAATGCATCAGCATGCTGGGGATGGCCAGGTGGAGGAAAGGACCCCACTCCTGCAGGCAGTCTCCTGACCAGCCTAGGAGATAATAGGAGATATGACGGATCCAGTGAAATGTATTTAAACCCATTAACACAGCCACGTCATACTAAAGAACAATGAAGCAGCCCTATGAAAATTTGTTTATACTCAACTCATTTAAATAAAAAACACAAAGTTGAAGGACTGTTTTCTATCATGATAAAGAAGAAACACAAATAATTAATGTACCTGGATACTAAACATATTGGCAAAATGTTCACTTACAACATATTTTCTGCCAAAATAGGCAATCTTGCAAATATGTTATCCACTCATAGTGACTACAGCATTATTTCTTTTTATTATTACTGTTGTTCCCTTGACGTAAGGAAAGTGCTTTTGTTGCCTCTTTTAGCCTCTTTGGTTTCCTGTCTATTTTAGGATTCATTTTAAACTGTTACTGTTTACTTTTAAGTCTCTCCATGTCCTGGCTCCAGGTTATATTTCAGACCTTTTAATCCCTTATGAACCTCTGCACAGTTTGAGATCCTTGGGCAAAGGTCTTTTGTTTGTTCCGGAGTCCAGACTGAAGATTAGAGGGGACAGAGCCATTGGAATCAGGCCCTGAGGCTCTGCAACAACCTGCCCAAGGAATATAAGGCTGCCTGAGTCACTGTCATCATTTGAGTCGCTTCTAAAAATGTGCTTCGATCGGAAAGCATATCCTGATTTTATCTGAGCTGTTTATGTTTTCTCTAAACATGACCCAGGAAGAGATTCTGTTAACAGTTTAGTACTATACAAATATAATTTTTAGGAGACAATGTTGACCAAGGACCTTGCTGTCAGACACCTGCCATTGTCACGTCTACAAAGCAAAACTGAGCAAAAACTGTCATCCATTAGTCCAAGAATCTGCAGAAATGCTGGCAGCTCTGTGGGGCTGCTGTGTTCACACTAGAAGCAACACAGCGACAGGCTACAGTCATTTTCAATGGAGGTCGCTGTCATGAAGCTGCAAGATATTGCCTGACACTTGTCGCTGCTGATGGGAGTGACATGCTACAAATCAAAGCTGAGCTGGCCTCAACTTTTTTTCAGTGCTCTGATGACACGATGAAGCCTCAACCGATCACGTTTTTGTTTCTAGCTGTGGTACTGTGTTATGCTGATGCTGTGCTCGCTTTATGTGCATTGCAGTCCTCAGACATTGATGAAATGCAGATTTTTTTGACCAAATACATACATTAGATGTGCTCAGTCAAGATGCTTTGTGGCAGGCACGAGTCCAGGACGGTGTAAATACGTTAATAAGTGCTGGAGCAACACTTCAACAGTGACTCGGCGATAATGTAGCTCATCGTGCTGTTGCATTGTCGCTCATAGTAAAGTAAAGTAAATCCAGAGGACAGAAATTAGTGTTAAGTTTAAATGACGCCAGAGCTGTAATACTTTACTATTTGTACACATCCAGTTGATTAATTCCAATTAACTGTAAAGCTATAGCGTAGCCTAGAGTCTTTTTGTAACACTGAAACCACACCAAGCAGCGCCAAAGTGCGGCTCACTGCAGTATCCTAATTATGTTTTTCTGCTGCCAGGAGGTGCATTAATTCAGGTGGGAGGAAATTCTTTGTAACATGGGTCAACAAGTCACAGGAGTCACAGGACTCTGTTAACTGACTGGATGCTTGTATTCTCTGGCTGCAAGTCACAGCTTAAAGTTAAATTTCCCCTATCTTTTAGTTTGGCTGCACTGTGCCACATAATCAAATGGGTGGATGCAGCTCGGTGTGGTCGCCACAGCGTTCCATTGATGTTATATTGCAGTTTGCCACAAGCTACACTCCACTGCTGCTTGGTGTGTTTTCGATGCGCACAGCAGGTGAACATCTAAAAGAGTGAAATTGATCTGCAGACAAGCAAAAAAATTAACAAAGAGAGTAAAATTTACAATTATAAATGAATTTTTAGTCTACATTTACTTTTATGGAGCATTTACATTTAAATTGAGCTGTTACTTCTTGACTAGGCTAATTAAAATAATTAATTTTCCTGATAATTGGAAAAACAAAGTTCTTTCCAGAAGTCTTTCAAGAATTTATTGCATAAGGACATAATGGTCAAATGAAAAGTTATCCCTACAGTAGTTTAATCCACAAAACTTACCGTCCCATGTAGCTTTGTGCAGTCCCCTGGAGCACATGTACACAAACAAGAAGACAGCCAAGGAGTACTGTGCGATGGCATTAGCAGCTGCAGATCCACTTTAGCGCCGTCAAGATGTTAAAACCACAAAAAAGGTAGAAAAACAAAGCATTGCCAGTCAGTCATACAAAAAAGTCCTCTAATAAAGCCTCCACTTGACTATTAAGAACGACTATTAAGCATGCTGTTTCCTTACTATCAAAGATCATGACTCAGTTAGAGGACTGTACTCACGCAACCCCCAGATTCAGATGGTTGAGGAAGATGTAGTTGATTATTACATTTAAAATGTTCCCCATGACTCCAGATATCACCTGGGGCCACATGATGCCCTGTGAGCCAAAGCACGCTGTTTAAAAAAGATACACGCCATTTCAACACATCAGTGCACCTGCTGTTTGTTACTGTCTCACAGAACATGCTCCTCTCTAACACGCGATAACGGTCTCATTACTGACAAACTTTAAGTCATTATTTCGTTTCACACCAGTGGTCTTGCAGCCATTAAATGCACCTGATTCTGAAGATACCTCCCCTGCAGCTGGTACATGAAGGAGGCCTGCAGAATGGAGGCGATGAATGGGGTTAATTAGATCGATAATGCAACACAACAGCCATTCAAAACAGGATGGAGATTCAAAGAAATGTGGAGGCTGAACTCACAGGCAGAGCCGGCATAAAGATCTTCACATACAGCTGGGCGAGTCTTTGGGAAGATGGTAAACAAGTGCAATAAATCAAAATGAATAACTCGATTCATGGGTAATAAGTATATACATAGCATCCGGAGTCAGTTTGTGTTATTGTATGGCTATGATGCTGCTGTTGAGGTGTAGAGGGTTCACCTGGCGACCTCTGCGCTCTGCCTGACAGCCAGCAGAATGGGCTGGGTGTTAATGAGAACAGCCCAGCAGGGGAAACAGGCTAAGAGCAGAATCAGAACTCCCTTTTGGAGTATCACTCCGACACGCTTTAGGTTACCACTCCCATAAGTCTGCAACAAAGGGGGTCAGAAAAACAAGAAAATAAACACTACTCCTGCAAGAGAAAGGGCAAGACGAACAAAGGGAAACTAATCTGAAAGAGCAAACTGTGAACACAGCGGCAACTGACCTGGTTGTGTAAATAAGATGAACTGAATACCTGAGATATGAGAGTATCACACGCTGAAGCCAAACCACAGCCGATGGAGATACCTGTGACATTTATTACCTGTATTGAAATTAGTCCAGAAAGAAAAAGAAAACAGATTCATGCTCAGATAGGTAAATGTCTGAATAAAATAAAGCTAAAAGCAACACAAGAGAATGAGCTGCGATGCCTGAGAGCAGAATGCCAATAAAAACAAAAACAAAACTCTCTCACCGCTATCGCCGAAGCCACCCCCCCCAGCTCTGTTTTCCCCAGGTGACCGCAGAACACCATGCTGATGAAGCCGATCATGAAGCTCATCATCTGGGAAATCAACTGAAAAACAAAATCATGCTCACTCCTTTTCATAACTATAAAAACATAAAATGAACTGCCCCTCACATGAACTCCATATGTGGCGCATACAGTAGCTAATGAAGCTATTATTCCTGAAAAAAAAAAATAAAAAAAAAAAACAACAACACTTGTTTCAAAAGGGCCTTCAGGTAAGAAAAGTTCTTATTTGCTCTGGCAGCTGACATGTGTTATACTTTGGTTTTGCTGCGGCTCCTTTGTATTTCTAAACGTCTTTACTACTTCTCTTTTCTTCTTTAGAAAGTAGTTCTAGTGATTGCTGGTGTAGGTTTTTGACAGCCTTTGGCATCAAAAGGTTTGCACAAAAGGAAACTAAATGTCCTCATCTATCAAGTTCTGGCTTTGTGTGATGAATGGGAGTCAGTGAAAAGTGGATACATGTTGGGCTCTGCAAATTGACGAACTATTTTTCTCCTCCCAAAGTTATAATTTTCTGCTCAGGAGACACTTGCAAATGCACCTTATTTCTATGGTATTGTTTGGAACAAAACTCTGATCTAGTCTGTCAAGCACGTATCAAGTTTATGAATTTGAGATGGTGTATAGATGGATTTAGGCAGGGCCGTAATAACCTATTTAACACTGGGGGCTGACCATTTTCAATCTACTGCAGTACGCAGTTGGCTGGGCATTTAGAGCCTATTTGTATATTATAATCACAACCTACGATTTAGGGGTGTGGCTCAGAGGTAGAGCAGATTGTCCACTAATCGGAAGATCAGCGATTCAATCCCTGGCTGTTCCATCAGTGTGTGAGTGCATGTGAATGGTTACTGAGTAACAGGCGGCACCTTGTATGATAGCGTCAGCCACCAGTGTGTGAATGTGTATGCGAATGAGTGAATGTGACATGTAGTGTAAAGGCGCTTTGAGTGGTCAGATACTAGAAAAGAGCTACACAAGTGCGGTCCATTTACCATTTACATTTGATTTAGATTTAATCGTATTAATTTAGATATGTCTGTAACTTCCTCTCGAACATTTGATGCTTCTAAGGCGTTTATTTACGTCAGTGAGATGCTGTAATCTGTTTTAGTTAAAATGCTGCCACTTTTTTAACACTAACAGGCAATTCTTTTTCCCATTAGTCCCAGTGGTTTGGAGTTATTACCCTGTTAATTACTGTTATAATAAAGCAGGTGGCAAATTGAAAAGGATTACTGGTACACCACAATCCTCATGTTAACTGTAAAGCAATTTAAGCCTTTTCAAATAACCAGTAACGCAGACATTTTCACTTTTGTCATGTTAATAAGTGACGCACACTGGAAACTACTGTAAGTAAGAGCTGGTTTTAAAAATGTGCAATCCTTACAGCCTCATCAAGAGAGCTGTTCCTGTATTGAATGACTCACACTTAGTCATTCTGAATGTTGGTATCTTTAGCTCTGATAACGTTTAATCTGGTGCAGTATAATTCGACTCTTGTCCCATCTAAGCACAATCTTACCACGGGTCCCGCCAGTTTTAAAAGCTGAACTGTTTCATTCTTGTAGTCCGCAGGTACCCAGAGCTTGATGCTTTTCAGGCAGGATACGCAGCGTGAGTCAACACTGTGAGCAGCAGGAGGAGGTGATTCGTCAGTTTTCGACTGTCCATTTACTCCTCTACATGCGCTTTTTGTTGCTAAATCTTCCATACTGAAATGAGAGTTGGCAGGAAACAGAGCTCAATCCCAAACTGAATGATTGTACAGTACAATTGCCCTCAGACACAGAGAAGAAGGCTGGGGGGTAATCAATAACAAATTACGAGGGTAATAATCAATAACCAAGGCAATGTCCGCCGACCTTGCTCTCTGTCTGTGAGAGTGGGCATATACAGTATGCTGGGGCATTCACATCTCTCCACCTCCAACCCACCAACATGCTGTCCACTCCCCTTAAAACGGTGCCAAAATGAAGCTGGTTGGTTTTTCTCTCAGCTGCTCTGCAGCATCACAGATCGCTTCTGTTTCACTGCAGTTCCAAGGAATTAAGTGTTCTTGGTCAAAGTATGAATACACATACCTGTAACTAAACACAGTATGAGTAACAGGGCTTTCACTCCATTTAAACCTTTCCTTAACAGGGCATCTTACTGTAGAGAATAAGATAGGAAAAGCTTCAAGGAAAAGTGAAGGCTTTGCTCATAGTTATGTCATGAAGGGTTAAAATATAACTGGAGGTATCTGTAGTCAGGTGATGATTCTCTGTGGGTTTGTCATTATCAGTGACCCTACCTGACCCTTTGTTAAAATAAAATAATAATTAGAGCAGATTTAAAGTGACTAATAACTGATATTTTACACTAACAATGTTACTATCATTGTAGTCATCACCTGAATCTGCATCTTCACTCAGATTTACTGAGCTTTATAGCAAGTTTCAGCACGTTGTTTATGGCCAGATGGGGCCACTGCAAATCTCAGGGTGGTACACTAAAACCAAAACCCTTTACAAACACTTTATGTCAGTCAGACAGCTCACGTTTAAATGTTTATTTCAACAGCAGAACATGGTTAGAGTTTAGCGTCTGAGCGGCCTCATCACTCCCCGCAGATATGTTTACATGAGATTTTGGGAAGTGATGATTAAATATTTTCCCCCCTAGCCAAAGCCTGCAGGTGTATGCTGGGGTGGAGGTGGGGTTGAAAGAGCGAGCAGCAGTTTTGATGCAGGGCAGCAGCGGCATAAACAATGCAAAGAAAAAGACCGCCACAGGAGGGTGTGTTTGTAGATTACACATTGGAGGGGTGATGTATGAGGTGTGTGTATGAATCAGTGCAGCTCGAGTTGACTGCCTGAACTAGCTCACAGGCACAGCTCCAGGTTAGTCGAAGAGACTTCCTTATTTACACTTTTTATCTCTAATTATCTGTTGCACATAGACTGACACCACTACAGTTAATATTTTGAGTTTCACAACAATCCTATTCCAATGTGTGATGTATCTGTATATACCCGTGTTCGGTGATTCATTGCTTTTCAAAAAGGCTGGTTGTCCTTTTCCTTAAAAAAACAAATACACAGCTTTAATGTGAAGGGCTACACTGATTGTAAGAAACAAAACATCTACTAGCAACAAGCTTTCTCAAGTTTAAAAACACAACACAGAGGCCTTCATCTATCTATTTTTGATTATTTTCACAATAGGGTGATTTGGTCTCTGCTCTTATGCCATTTTATTCCACAATAGGCAGCTGTTTTTAGCAAGACTGCTCTAAAACGCCTCTGTATACTGTCTGCTCGGCACCAAACAACAGACAGTGAATATGATCAGAAACACTATATAAAAGGTGGCATCAGCTTTTGCAGATTTAAGTATGAAAGTAATATAAGAAGGGATTAACAACTATTGATAGCATTTCTAAGAGCAGATGACAACATACATAAACTCCACTATACTGAGTTTCCTGATGAGCACAATACACACAGATGCCTGTCTCTAAAGAAATATGGAATAACATATTCAACAGCATATAACTGAACTGAGACAATTGGTTAGATATGTTAATGGGATGATGTGAACACTACTTTAAATGTAATAGATTTGTATTTCTTCATAATTATCTTTGTTTGATCTCATGCGTTTTTACTCACAGTCTCATTTCTGATTTTTGTACCTTATTATCAACTGTTTTTACATTATAGACTCAACATCATAATGTGTCTGAGAGACAGCTGTTCCAGCATGTTCCTTTTTTAGATCATAAAAGCTATGTTTGAAATTCCAATCATCAGCACAAACTGCACATACTCTGCTAGAAAAAACAGACGTCTGATGAAAACCAACAAACTCTTCTGCTGTTTGCTGTCAAACTGTTTCATGACTGCAAAGACACAGAGAGAACTGACATTGTGTCTCTGACTCAGATTTATTTTCCCCTCGCTGAGGTAAATCATCGAGTCTGTCACTGTAAAACAACACACATGCTTGTATCCTGTCACCTTCATCATGTTATATTCTTCCTCCCATAGTAACACCTCTCAGTGAGGCGTTCCTCTCTCTGGTTGTGGCTTTGTGAACCTCCCATCAGGTGGTGCTGTTTTGCTCTTGTTGAAATTTCAAACGCTCAAAAATTTCTGGCACATCAGGCTGCTTCACTGAACTTTGAATGGATTTCTAATCATTAAATCAAAAAAATATAAAAGCCTTTGTTTCTCCTTCAGCTGATTCATGTCATTCAACGCAGTCAAGCAGCCCTGCAACACACTGCCGAACATATTGTCAAACACCCAGTTAATTTTGTGAGTTTCAACCATTTTCTTTGCCTCTTGGGCCAAAGGATATCAGAACAAAAAAGAGAAAGGTAAATTAGTGGAGGCCAACGGTAGAGGAAGGGGGTGACACCTAGTGTAGGCTCTCATTCATTTTCCTGGTTCAGTGATGCAGCAAGGCCCACCGGGTCCACCCACCCACCAAATTGTATTCCTCCGGCTCCCCCATCCCAACCACACGCACAGAATCACACACACGTAAATATGTTCCACCAACCAGCGGGGCCGGCGTCCGCTGTGACGTCACACTGCAGTTCTTCTCGGGCTCCACTGGATGACAGTGGCAAGTCACCGCTTACACACGATGAGCCGTCATTCTTAATGGCGACCGGTCAGAGTGTGTGTACGTGAGTGCATTTGTATATGTGTTTGTGTTTGTGTGCATGTGCGTTTGGGTGGGGTTCGCGCCTGATGGGTAGCTATGGGGTATTGAGGAGGTGGAGAGGGCTTATTGGAGGGGGTAGGTGGTTTTGATGGAGGTGTAGGAGGCGGGGGTGGGCAGTAAAATCGCAAATGAGAGGAAATTGTTTTGAGTCACAGCAGATTTGGTGGAGTGAGATAAGGGCTGATGACGGTGGTGGTGGTGTGATTAGGATTAGGGTGGAGGGGGGTGGTGGTGGGGGTTTGGAGAGAGTAGAAGGTGGTGGTGGGGGGGTGGGTGAGTGTGTGCATGGAAGAAGGTTTTGGGAGGGGTGGGACTATTTGCACGCACAGTGTCACTGTGTGTGTGTGTGTGTGTGTGTGTGTGTGTGTGTGTGTGTGTGTGTTGGGGTGTGCATTTATCTGTGTGTGTAGGTTGTGATTTTTTTTCTCTGAGAGAGGGGAATTGAGGGAAAGATGAGGAGATGGGTGGTTTAGATAATGGCGGCCAGAGAGAGCGGACGAGGGCAGAACGTGTCACGCAGAAAGATAGAGTGCGATGGAATAAGAAGGAGTGCATCAGACAAAAGAAGTGAACATTTGATAGAGAGGCAAAAAAAGGGAGACAGAGTGCAGAGGGTACATGGGGGGGGGGGGGGGGGGGGGGTAGCAGGCCATGGATGAGAGGATGGATGAGGGGAGGGACGTTGAAAGAGTGCCAGAGTGATTTTCGACGTGTTCTCTTCCCTCCTTTGTTGGTTACGTTGTGGGTAGCTTTGGCGGCGAGAGCTTTAGGGGGTTTTGGAGGGAACAATGACGCAGAGGGACCCATCGCGTCTGCTCCAGCTGATAATGATGATGCCTGAAAACGATAACAATAATAAGTAGCTTCTAGTGGAACCCTAAAACCGCTGGCACGTGACGCGTACGTCACACATTATCACACATGACACACTGCACTGGACACACAGACATGGCTATCTCACGTTGGCAGTGTGTGTGAGGGTGGTCGGAGAGAGGGAAAGAGAGGGAGCGAGACACAAAGAGACACAGAGGTGGAAATAGAGAGAAAAGGGGAGCGGGGAGGAAAACGGATTATGTTCGGAGTCTGTCACCTGTATACACTTGACATTCGCATACGGGACGAACGTTGGAGATGTGTGCTGAAAGTCAAAAACAAAATTAACGCATTTATAGCTGGCCCTATTGTATGTGGGCAATCTTGTGTAATTTTCTTTTATCAGTACAGACAGAAAAAAAAATCAAAGGCAGCCACTCATAGAAAGCTGAACCCTACTGAGAAGCATTATTTTCAAATGTGGTAAAAACCTGAATGAGATGGTGGGAGGGGAAGGGTGGGGTGTGTGTGTGTGTGTGTGTGGTGGTGGTAGGGAGGTTGTTTCACATACTGTTGACCACATTTTCAGTTTAAATCTACACAATGTCAAGCGCCTCATTTGAATTTCAGACTTTGTCAAAAGGAACAAATAATTGAAGCGTGGACTCATCTCACCGAAAAAATGACGGTATAGATGAGAAGTAATTCAGCCATGACTAAAGCAGAAGAGAATTTGCTGTCTGCTCTTTTGATGATGTATGAGCTTTTGAATTTCTTTGGTGAGTCACATAGAAATTACTTGAAATAGTCAAAGCGATGCTGCATTCACATTGTGTACTAGGTGCTATAAATACAGCTTGATGTTTGGAGAATTTAAACTTTTCGTGAGGAGGAGACAGCAGAGGAAAGGCACTCTTCTTCAGAAACAAATTACAGTCCTAACATGTAACTGTCAAGTCTCTCAGGTAATTAGGTTAGATTGTGCCTTAATGAATTCCTTGTCCAACCTGCTTAAACAGGTGTCGTGGGAACACGTTATAATCCCACTGTTGATTTAAACAGTGCCGTCCTAATGCAATGGACGAGCCTTCTCAAATGCCACCAACCCCGATTTGTCTTCCATGACTCATCCAGCCTCTAAAACAATGCGGCACCGTGCTGCTCGGCCCCTCATGACACACTGTCCTTTCCATAGCACCCTTGACGAAGCTGTGGGTTTGTCCGCAGGGGTAAACACAA